GTCCTATGCGGTTGAGATAAGGACTGAAATACGCCCTGGTCTCCTGCAGTACCCTCAGGCCTACTAAGGTGGGGAAAAACCTGGCCCTGGTAAATTTGTGATCAGACCAGTTCTCGGCTCTCAAACCCTGTTTTCTCTTAAGATGTTCATCAAGACATTACGTGCACCGCTGAACATAAACCCTTGTCAGGAGTTCTTTTGCCCTTGTCCTGTTTCCTCAGAAGCATGTGATCTTTGTTCTGCTTTTTGCCCTTTAAAGCATGTGATCTTTGTGCCTACTCCCTGTTTATACACCCCCTCCCCTTTTGAAATTCTTAATAAAAACTTGCTGGTTTTGAGGGTCAGGTGAGCATCATGGTCCTACCGATATGTGATGTCACCCCTGGCAGCCCAGCAGTAACATTCCTCTCTTTGTACTCTTTATTTCTCAGCTGGCTGACACTTATGGAAAATAGAACCTACGTTGAAATACTGGGGGCGGGTTCCCCCAATAGTTTTCATGAATCTGTCAGTCAGCTACGGGATCAGAAGGGGGTCAGCTGATCTGCTGGTCAGCTAGTGGGTCAGAAACCCAAATCTTACTGGTTTAACTTGTTATCCCTTACTGGTTATCCCTTCCCGTGTGAAATCCAAAACTGGTGTACTTGAGCAGCAAGCAGCTTTCCTCCTCCAAGTGGTGATTCCGGGACCAGGCTCCTTCCATCTTGTAGTCTTCACTATCTTCAACACGTGGCTTCCAAGACAGCTTGCTTATGTGCTTCATGCCAGCAATAGGAAGGAGAGAGTGGAAGGCTGTGCATGGGGAGCAGGGGAGTTCGGGGGCTCACCCTGGAAGTGGGGTGCATCACTTCTGCTTATATTCCATTAGCTAGAACTCAATTGCTTGGCCGTAGCAAACCAATGGCAAAGAAAGCTAGGAAATGTAAGCTACTGTGTCCTCAGAAAGAAAAAATGAGTCTGCTAAACAGTCAGCCAGCCTCTGCCACTCATATAGAGGCTTGCCTCCCCAGCTGCGGCTAAAGTGAAAAAGATTGACCAGCTACTTACCAAACTTAGTGATCAAGCACTCCATGGAGTCATCCTCGTAACATGAATGTTCTTCTGAACATTCAGAGCCTATGGAGCAGCAGGGCTGAATTTGGAGCAGCTTTTGCAATAGGAGAAAAAAAACACAAAACTTAGATACAAAAGATGGATCAACATTTCTGAGAACCTGTAATACAAGAAGACTTAAGTTTTCTTCAAGTTGGAAAGAAGAAAATGTTATCATAATCAAATGGGATTTTCCCTACATCTGAACATGCCAAGAGGCTTTTTACCCTAGGAAGTCTCTACTTGTTAACATTTCAGATACTGTGATTGAATGAGGAATTCCAGATAGTTCTGTGAGGATTGGGGGAAGAAGAAAAGAGGATGCCAGTCCTTGTTCCTAGGCCAAGACCTGAGCCCTGTAATATTAATATTTGGATCTAAAATCTGGTAAATGGGAGTGTGTAAAGAAGAGTCATAAACAGTGTCATGTGAAGGAGAGAGGCTGGGATTTGAAATCAGAAAAACTTGGGGAATTAAGTTGTGTAAACCTGGGCAAGCTACTCTCTCTTCCGGTGTGAAATGAAAACAACCTCTGACAATGTTTTTGATCTTTAAAAGTTGGGGGGTAAAATCTAGCACATAGAAGGAATTGGCCCAGTATATGCCAGTTCCTTTCTCCCTGCCCCGTTTGTCTCTGTCATTCAAAGTGGCTACCATTCTTTAGAAGTCTTAATTATTAGGCGGAAGAAGCTGTTTCCCTTGGCTTAGAAAGCTTGTTTGAAAATACTTAATGCTAAACACAGGTCTATAGAATCCAGAATTGTCAGCTTCCTATTGTGGCTTAAGCTTCCAAATACCTGTGTCATGAGCCAGGACGCACATGCTGGGAGGGAAGACGTAAATCTCAGCCCATCTCTGCCCATCTGTGTTGTCATCAAAGGAAACTTCCCCCAGCAACATGATGTTGGGGTTAACTTGTCCTCGGTCATGCAGCTACTAAGATGGAGTCAGGATCTGAGTCCAGGTGATCTGGCTTCTGAGCTCAGATTCTTAGGCTTACCTGCTACACTATCTAGATCTGGTACAAGATGAAGAGGTGTAGGTGGAAGGATGCATACTTACTGTGGTGTCTAGCTATCTCTTGCAGGCCCCTCCCAGAAACCCAGGTCTTGGTCTCATGCTCTAGTTTCAGAGCATAAGGAGCAGTGGAACTGATATTTGGAAGAGCTGAGTACTCACAAGCCATTGCTGATAATGACCCTCTCATGTTGTAAAGGCTCTCACTGGGAGCAGAAGCCCTTTGGGTGGTGACAGTCCCCTGTAGATAATTGCTATGCTCTTTGTCACCTTGTGAGGAAATTATGTAAGACTGTGATTTTTTTGACCCTCCCCTGGCTAATCACTCTATAGGCAGAATTGGTCACATACGAAGCTTCCTGATTTCCATGTGGAAATCATGAGCCCACACAGAGCTATGGAAGTGACAGTAATACTAGCTTCAGCCTTGGAGTCTCTTCACGGTTCAGTTTACAATATCCAGCAGAATAAAATAGGGACAGGTTCTGAGTTTTATCTTGAGATATTTCCTTAATGAAATGATACAGTTTGCATGAGCTGTCTGTAGGTGCCCCGCTTTAGGGAATAGAAAGACATGCATCCCCTTTCACAGAAATCCACAAGAATAGTAGCTGCCAGTGTTGAGGGCTCTGCGCCAGGAGTATGTACGTGTACATATATGGTAATTTGGTCTGTCCAACATTGAAGTAGGAATTATACTCCCCACTTTACAGAAAAGAGAAGTGAGGCTCAGAAAGGGAAGTTAATTTTCCCAAGGTCAAACAGCGCAAGTAGTGGAGCCAGATGCAAACCAGACCTGTCACACTCCGGGGTCCTCACTCTCAGCCACTGTGCTATACTTGGATCAGGCTTCTTTTCACAAGCTCGAAACGGCTTTAGTAAACAGCCAGCAATAAGGGCCACATACTGTTCCTCAACTCACTGAAATCCAAAGTAACAGTTTTGGGTGGATGGCACCTATTTTTAATCTGATTGAGCACTCAGAAGCCTCTAGAGCGAGTTGCTTTGCTCAAAGCAGTTATTCTATGCTAATGAAATCGTGATGATGAGTGCCACACTCGATACAGCAGAATTCTCTGACCTCGAAAGCTCATTTATCTGTACCCAGAGATGAGTCCAAATTATTTTCTCAGAATTTGAATGTAGCCTGACAGTCATGTGTACTAGTTTAGACCACTGTCTTTGGAGTTTGATTGTGGTTCTGCATTTAACTATTATTTCGGGCTACTAAAACTCTCCGTGGCTTAGTCTCCTCAACTGTAACATGGCAATAATAATGCCTATCTGTATGGAAAGCCATGTGAGGTGTCTTCCTAATTACAACGGCTCTCTGAATTCTCCTCATCCTCCCAAAACACACATTATTGAGGGCAATAAGTGCCCATGATTGAGCGCTGAGGACGAAAGATCAGCAAGACCCCATGCTAGCCATCAAGATACAGGAGAGAAATGTAAAATCATAATAATAATTAATTAAAATAGAGTCTGATAAGCCCTATGACAAGATAAGTACTAAGAGAATGTTACTCTCCTAGGGGTGGAGGTTGTGTAAAGTTTTGGAGGTGACATTTAGGCTGGGTCTTGTTAGATAAGAAGGATTTGCAGAAAAGGTCAGCTGTTTGCCCAAAGGACCTCTAACTAATAGCATTTCAGGAACTGTGATACATGAAGTAGAACAGAGGGGGTCTCTCCCTGTAGCCTCAGAATTAGGAACCAGAAGTGAAACAGCAACTACTTTAGACTTACAAGTGAAGTCTAAAGTTGACTTCACTTTAGAAAGTGGCCCAGGGGGACTATCACAAGGTTGCAAACTTATCCCACTACCCTCTACCAGCCCAGGTATCCTCCTTGTCTCACATTATATATCTTTTGGGACACAGGACACATGGCCAAAGGTTATACATGTCTCCAGCTTCCTTGCCATTGGAGAGGGAAGAGGGCATATTTCTCCCTACCCGACACCACCCCCACTCCCTCCAAAAAAAAACCCACAAGGGTAGTGTGTTTAAGAAAATCATTCGTCTAGATTAGGAGTGCTACAAGGAGGGGGAAATGAAACCTCACTCCCCAGCAGGTTGGTTACTATGGTCCCACCCCCACTCCCACCCCAGAACTGCAGGATGAGAGATATCCTAGAAGAGTTTAATATGCATAACTTGAGTTTGGGTTCTCAGAAATGAAGCTGGATGAGAGGAAGCAGAGCTTTATCTCAAGAAAATTACATAGCTCCTATAGGCAAAGACCATCACTGCCTAGGTGCCCAGAAGCAGAGAGAATCAGACCAAGGCAGTGGGAGACTGAGGTCACCTCTGTACCACCAGCAGGTGATAAGGAACATCCCTGCCTGTACTGTACTGCTTTTCCCTACCCTCATTTCCAGAGGTGCTAACCAGACCTGTCACACTCCGGGGTCCTCATTCTCAGCCACTGTGCTGTACTTGGATCAGGCCTGGAAGTTGGGGGTGGGTGGGTCGGGGGAAGAAGGGAAAGAGCAGACTGCACCCTTGCTACCTGGCACCTAGCTCTCAGACTGTAATTTCTCTTTGGGATGCTCTCATGCCGAGCCCATGTCTGGCCCATAGCAGACATTCAATACTTATGTTCAATACTTATGCCAGCCCTTTTCTCAGTCACTCACAGCTTTTTTGATTTAGGAATCTTTTTATTTAATTTTTTTTTTTTTTTTTAATTTTGTAGAGACAGGGTCTTGCTCTTGTAACCCAGGCTGGTCTTGAACTCCTGGGTTCAAGTGAACCTCCTGCCCCGGCCTCCCAAAGTGCTGGGATTACAGATGTGAGCCACTGCACCCGGCCTGGTGTAGTAGTCCTATCTGTCTGTCAGAGGAGGGTGTTACCTTGGCTCAGAGCCTTGCTTAGGTAACGTGGAAGGACCCAGGGTACACAAGGTAGGTGGCTGTTCTCCGGAAATGTCAGTTTCTGGGCAGGGCTTAGGTGTCTGCAGTCCCTAGTCCCACCCCTGGCCTTGCATTCCAGCTCAGCAGGTGGAAGGTATAAATTTCAGCTGCTCTCAGCCCTGCTGTGATTTCTAAAGCCTTCTAACAGCAACATGAAGTTGGCAGCCTTCCTCCTCCTTGTGATCCTCATCATCTTCAGCCTAGAGGTACAAGGGCTTCAGGCTGCAGTGAGACCGTTGCGACTTTTGGGTAAGTCCAGGCAAAAAGTAGCCCAGTTCATTTTTCCTTGAATGAGGGGGCCAGAAAGTAGGACATCAGGGACCAGTGGGTGCTGGGAAGGAGAGGGGAAGAAAGGAGAGAGGAAAAGGTCTTAAAGGGCTACTGCAGGGACCCTCCAGTGCTACTCAGCTCCCCAGAGCAGAATCTCTTTTCTTCTACCTCCACTTTCCCCCACTCCTTTCCCTGGGTCACCGCTCCATTTGGACTCTCTGTACCTCCCCTCTTACCCCCTCATCAGCCACCCTCTGACTCCTGCCATCTCCCTCTCCATAAGCTTCTTCCCTCTCTTGCTACGAATAAATTGGATCACCTAGAGAAAATATTTTCTTAATCATGTTAAACATTAATCATCTCAATCTCTTCTTTTCCTTTTACCAACATTCTCAAAGGAGTAATCTTAGTTCTCTGTCCTTACTTCCCAATAAGTCATTCCTTGACCCCTTGAAGATGGCCTACAGCCTCCAGCCCTGCCCCATCACTCTCCTGAAACTTCTCTTCCAGATTCTGTGGACAAATCTCATGACTCCTCAGTCGCCAAGTCTTTAACCTCTGTAGTGTCCGACACTGCTTGCTACCTCCTCAGTTCTCAAACTTTCTTTTCTCCTGCATTATCCTTCATGGTATTTTATTCTTCTCTCTAAACATTATTGGATTCAGTTATTACTTTCTTTTCTTCTTCGCTCTCCTTCCCTCAACATTAAACTGGTTGCCAAATACTGTCCATTCTCTGAAAGTGTCTCTTGCATATGTTCTTTCGTTCCCCTGCCATCTCCCCTTGTCACGCAGTATTTCCAGCCCCGATGACCTCATGTCTGGGCCATGCCAGGAGCTTCCTAACAGCTCTCCCTGCCCCTGTCTTTCTGCTGCAGTTTGCTTGCTTGTTGCATTCTGTTCCATTCTAGGCTCTCATACCAGAATAATCTTCCTAATTAAACATCAATCACATCCCTGTCTTGATCTATCAAATGAAATCCAAACTCCTAAGGCCCTCAAGATCTGCACCCCCCACACCCCGTAACTTTATCGATACCCTACTTACTTTTCCTGCTTCATTTCCAGCTATTCCCTAACACTTACCCAGCCCTCCATTTGCCACTCCTCCTGTGTTCCTTGTATTTCAGGGTGAGGAGTGAAGTGGATGAGGTACCCAGGGTGCAAACATTAAACGGGTACTCACCGCCAGCATTGTGCAAGGGCCTCCTGGAATCGCATGCCCTAGGCACCTCACTTGCCTCACCCTAATCCTGGCCCTGCATTTCCCCTTGTGAATTGTTGTTAGTAATTCTTTTTTCTTCTCACAACACTCCACCCATGCCCCTCAGTTCTGACTTAAAAAGATACCTGCACTTCAAAACTCACCTTTTCTGATTAATCTAATTGGAAGTAATGTCATATTCTCTGAGCCTTTTTTTTTTTTTTTTTTTTTTTTTGGCAGGATCTTGCTTTGCTTTGTTGCCCAGACCAGAGTGCAGTGGCACAATCATGGCTTACTGCAGCCTAAATCTCCTGGGCTCAAGTGATCCTCCTATCTCAGTCCCCCAAGTAGCTAGGACCACAGGCATGTGCCACTAAGCCCGGCTAATTAAAAAAAAAATCAAAAACTGTAGAGACTGGGTCTCAAACTTCTGTGCTCAAGCGATCCTCCCACTTCAGCCTCCCAAAGTGCAGGGATTACAGGCATGAGCAACCACGCCCAGCTGAGACTCTTCAATTCTTCAAATATACCACTCTTAGGACACTTGTTACATATTGCTTTGTTTTTAGTATTTTGAATATGTCTTATCCATATTGTTAGACTCTAAGCTGTTTGTCTTACATCTTTGTATTTGCTGAATAATTTCCTCTGTTTTATACATAGTAAGAAATCAACAGATATATACTTAATAAGTAGATATTATTGATTTAATAAGTCAAACTGCTGTGAGTGGTGAAGAGGGATCTTCAGCCTGCTCACCACAAATCAACAAAAGCTACGGGAAGCATGGGGGGATGGTATTGATTTTCTCTGAGGTCTACAACTACATTGAAGATATCCCACCAGGTCCCCTTCTTACACCCCTCAGATACTGCTAATCAGTCCTAGCACTCATTCTCTTTGAACCTGGACAAGGTGTCTGACCCTTCTCAAAACAGCATCAGACAGCCACCTCCATTGACTGAAGTTGACAATGGAGAATAAAACTCATTACCCCTGCTGACTCCAGGGGCCTCTTTTTACAGATGAGAAAAGTCCCAGAAAGATCCAGAGACATAATCAGGTAAAGAAATTCCTGCTAACAGCTGAGTAGCCAATCAAAGTACAGTACATATTCATCCAGAGTTCTGAGTATGTTTTCCTAGAAGCCTGTGCGATCCTAACCAACTCTTTGAACCTACTTCATTGGTCCTCAAAGAGCTTGATGTTCTGGGAACTTGGGAGCCTCCAATCAGGTCCGGAATGACTCCTTGAAATTTGGAGATATGTACTTATGTCAGGATGAGCTTCACCATGTGGGATAGCAGAAGGTGCTCAGACCGAGGAGCCAGGCAAATTTCAGTTGAATCTCACTTCTGTACCCACTGGCTAGCAAGTCACCTCTTTGAGCCCCAACTGCCACACCTGTAAAGTGGGCCTAGTAAGACTCACTGCATGGGGTGACTGCAAGGGACTCCCGATGACACGTGGTAAGTGTGAGTCTCTTCTTCTCCACTCTATTCCCTGCAGAGTGGGGAGTGAAGACGTTTAAGTGGGCTTCTTTGCACTTCCCCTCCACAAACACAATTATCCCCATCTCTAAAGTAGACCTTACTTTTTTGAGATCATGTGAATGCATTGCCTTTAACTGGAATGTATAAGATGTTAATGATATTATTCTGCAAGTAATAAATCATATTGCATAATGAATGAAAAGAAAAATGTAGAACTGACTTCTTCATCAAGGACTGTTCTTGTCGCATCTGTCTCAAAAGTATGGTGGTTTTCAGCACATCTGTTCTTCCATAGGTACCTGCGTCGAGCTCTGCAAAGGTGACTGGGACTGCAATCCCGGAGAGCACTGTGTCAGCAATGGGTGTGGTCATGAGTGTGTTGCAGAGTAAGGACAGGTAAAAACACCCGGCCCTCTCTGCTTTCCCAAACGTTGTTCAGTCTAGGTAGGTTGTGCACTTAGCCTCAGTGGGACTTTCCAGAAATGAGTAGGACAGAAACCTGTCTCCCTCTTCCCCCAACCTTCCCAAGAAAAAGATGCATCCATCACAAGATGGTGGTTTCCAGACCTTTAAAATAATTCCCTAACCCAGTATGTCCTGGAGCAAAATCAGACTATTTATTTAAGCAAAATGATAAAAATCACACATAATCCCCCACCTCAAAACAACGTCTGCTTAACACTTTGGTGCATATTTTAAACATACACAAATATATAATATTTATATAAAAATGAGATAATCTTGTGCCTTTTTTTTTTGAGACGGAGTCTTGCTCTGTCACCCCAGGCTAGAGTGCAGTGGCATGATCTCAGCTCACTGCAAGCTCTGCCTCCTGAGTTCACGCCATTCTCCAGCCTCAGCCTCCTGAGTAGCTGGGACTACAGGCGCCAGCCACCGTGCCCGGCTAATATTTTTGTATTTTTAGTAGAGACGGGGTTTCACTGTGGTCTTGATCTCCTGACCTCATGATCCGCCCACCTCGGCCTCCTAAAGTGCTGGGATTACAGGCCTGAGCCACCGTGCCCAGCCTCAAACAACTTTAATGTCAATACTAATGCTTCTATCCCATCATCTTTGATAGAAGTTCATCATCTATGCTCAGATACTTAGCAACCTTTAGTAATACATGTTTAAGATATTTCTTATTTTGATATTATGAATAGGACTGTAACAAGTACTAAACTGTATACATATTTGTCCTTGGGACAAATTCTAAGATGTAAAATTGATGACTAAAGAGTATGTTCATTGGCTGGGTGCGGTGGCTCATGCCTGTAATCCCAGCACTTTGGGAGGCTGAGGCGGGAGGATCACGAGGTCAGGAGATGAGACCATCCTGGCTAACATGGTGAAAACCTGCCTCTACTAAAAATACGAAAAAATAAATAAATAAATTAGCCGGGCATGGTGGCGGGCACCTGTAGTCTCAGCTACTCAGGAGACTGAGGCCGGAGAATTGTGTGAACCCGGGAGGCGGAGCTTGCAGTGAGCCGAGATTGCACCACTGCACTCCATCCTAGAAAAGTATGTTCATTTTAACCCTGTGATGTACACTGCCATGTTGACTTATGAGAACCCCTTTTCTGTGAAAATGTCTCGGGGGCCTCACAGGATAATTTATTTGTTTTCAGTAGCCATTAGTTGAAAAATGCGTAATAAAAAGCTACCATAATTCAGTTTTGATTATAAACTAAGTTGCACTAAACACAAAAGAATCAGCACACACTTTAAATAAAAACCCTTTGTGTTCAGAATGTATTATTTGGCCAATCCACCTGCAATGCTTGGGGTGCTTAGGGCCTGGCTGGCTCTTTGCAGGTGTGATTGATTTCCCAAATCAGGAACTGTTGCCTCTTGATTGTATTCTGTGGACCCAGGTCCCCAAACCAGCAGGTCTGGGGCATAATTTTTTTGTCTTTTTCTCAGATGAAGAGTTATCTTAAGGATCATCTTTCTCTAAGATAAGCATCCCTTCTTGGAGTTCCTATCTTCCAAGATGTGACTGTTTGGAGTACCTTGACTAAGAAGATGGATGAAAATGGCGAGCCTGTGGATAGGGACTACAGGGGATATGGGAGGCAGGGAAGAGGGGTTGTTTCTTTTAATAAATCATCACTGTTAAAAGCACTCATACTATTTGAGTTATTTGGTTAAAGGTGAGGAGGAGGGGGGAGAAGGACAGATGAAATTTGTTGCGTACTGACTATCAACAAGGACCATGTTAAATTCTCCCTAGACATTATCTAAGTATCCTTAACAATCTTTTGACTGCACTTCTTTTTTTTTTTTTTTTTTTGAGACGGAGTCTGGCTCTGCCGCCCAGGCTGGGGTGCAGTGGCCAGATCTCAGCTCACTGCAAGCTCCGCCTCCTGGGTTTACGCCATTCTCCTGCCTCAGCCTCCCGAGTAGCTGGAACTACAGGCGCCCGCCACCTTGCCCGGCTAGTTTTTTGTGTTTTTTAGCAGAAACGGGGTTTCACCATGTTAGCCAGGATGGTCTCGATCTCCTGATCTTGTGATCCGCCCGTCTCGGCCTCCCAAAGTGCTGGGATTACAGGACTGCACTTCTTATCATCACCATTTGAGGACACTGAGGTTTGGGGCAAAGTCATATAGCAAGTAAGTGTCAGGGCCTAAACTATAATCTCATGTCAAATGCCACATAAGGCCTATGCATTATAGTATGGTAGTCAGGAGCCCTGACTCTGAATTTCAAACCCAGGCCCACCACACAGCCATGTTGCCTTCAGTGAGAATCTTCGTCTTTCTGTGATTCAGTTTCTCATATATATAATAGTACCTCATAAAACTACAAGGATAAAAGAGGGTCATGTATAATACTGACACATAGAAAGCATTCAGTAAGTGTTAACTACAATGATTATTAACACAGTAGTACCCCTAATCCATGGGGGATATGTTCCAAGACCCCCAGTGAATGCACAAAACCATGGATAGTATCAAACTCTACATATACTGCCATGGATAGCATCGAACTCTATATACATGTGTTCTGTCCTATACATACATACTTATGATAGAGTATAATTTATAAATTAGGCATAGTAAGAGATTAACAATAACTAATAATAAAATAGAACAAATAAAACAATATGCCAACATCACTACTCTTATGCTTTGAAACCATTATTAAGCAAAATAAAGGTTACTTGAACACAAGCACTGGGACAGTGGATCTCATAATTGAGATGGTTATTAAGTGACTAACGGGTGGGTAGCATATAAGGCGTGGGTATGCTTGACTAAGGGATGATTCACATTCCAGAATGAAGTGGGACGGCGCAAGATTTCATCACACTACTCAGAACAGCAGCAAGTTGAAATGTATGAATTATTTCTGGAATTTTCCATTTCGTATTTTTTTTTTTTTTTTTGGACAGAGTTTTGCTTTGGTCACCTAGGCTGGAGTGCAATGGTGCGATCTCGGCTCACTGCAATCTCTGCCTCCCAGGTTCAAGTGATTCTCCTGCCTCAGCCTCCCAAGTAGCTGAGATTATAGGTGTGTGCCACCATGTCCGGCTAATTTTTGTATTTTTAGTAGAGATGGGGTTTCAACATGTTGGTCAGACTGGTGTCGAGCTCCTGACCTCCAATGATTAGCCGGTCTCAGACTCCCAAAGTGCTGGGATTACAGGCATGAGCTACTGCGCGCAGTGCATTTCATATTTTCATACTGTGATTGACCACGGGTAATTGAAAAGGCTGAAAGCAAAACTACCGATAAGGGGGGGACTACTATATAATCAAATAGATAGTCTGATGACCCTGAAACAGAACTCAAGGCCAATCCTCCTTCCTAGCCTCTCCTGGTTCAATGTGTAATCTGGATACTGAAATCAAGCTCCTCTCTTCTGGTTTTCCCCATTACAAAATGTGGGAGGTAAAAATCAATGTGTTTATAATTTCTTGTCTATGTTCTTCACAATCACAGCCAGCCTGGGCTGCAATCTGATTTCAACCAATTTGCTGCCTGTGCAGCTTTGACCAACCGTTTATACTCTTTGGCACCATTTTCTCAACTGAAAAAGGGAGAAATAATATCTACCTCATTGATGCCTCATTGATGCTAAGACTTATAAAACTTTATAGTTTACAAAGCATTTTCACAAAAATCCCACTTGATTTGCACATCAACCAATGGCAAATAGGGGACCCTGAATAAAAAGTTAGTGAGTTCATTCACATTCCAGGGGCTGTGCTAGCCCTGGGCTACAACAGCGAATGAGACAAACGGGATCTGTGCCTTCATGGAGTTAACATTCTAGAGGAAGCAACAGATGATAAAGTAAGCAAATAAACAAGATAACTGCAGGTTATGGTAAATTTTCTGAAGGAAATAATCAAAGATGTGAATTAGAGTGAAATGGGGGCATGCAAGCCTATGTGAGTTAGGATGACCCAGACTCTCATGAAGGGATAAAAATGAAGTCTTGAGAGGTTTCCAAACACGAAAGGAGTGAAATTCCACTGAGGTTCCAGATCATCCGATGACAATGTGCTTAGCACCGCTTAAAGCCCCTCAGTCACTGTAGGACTATGAAAATGTGGAGAATTGAGGAGGAGATAGGAGATTTTCTTGGAAGAAGGCTTTTGCCATGGTGTGTTTCCACAGTTTCAGTGTGGGAAATGGGAGCAGGAGTGCTATTGTATAAACTCAAGCCAATGCAGGGTGCCTTCCAAGACCTTCCTCAGAGCTTGAGATATGTTTCCTTTAGTTGGTAATCATCGCAGAGTAGGGATATCCATTTCCTTAAAGGAACCACACTAATTCACAAGGGTATTTTCTACCAGAACTCAACAGACTGGTATCAGTATACTGTATTTTACAATTCCTGGACCATTCCAACCTGAATAACACAATACGTAGGTCATCCATATTGCAACTTAAGGTCAACCACACCAAACCCAGATCCTTCCCACAGTCTCTTTGAACCACCTGCATTGTGAAAATGACCACTCACATCCTTCTAGCCCAATGTGTAAGACAGCTCTTTAGTACTACTTCACATATTCTTGGTCTTACATTCTTATTCTAGCCTTTGCTACAGCAAGTAGTTTATCACAGGCATCTACTAGCTTAGCATAGGTCTAACTGGTGAGAGCCTTGCCTCAGATATGCATCCTAGTTTCCTCACTGTTGCCTCAGGGCTTCTTTGACTATGCAACATAGGACTCCTGCAGGAACCAAGCACAGATACATGCTCAACATAGGAACACCAGTGAATTAATGCCTTGTGGGCAACTTTTGACAACAGAGTCCAAAAGCTGACAGATAAATGCTTCCCCTCTCTGTTCCTTCAGAAGAAGGGTTTTGAGAGCTTCACAAGGCTTCTCAGAAACTCCTGAGGACTGAACAATCAGTCACCCCTTGCAACGGCCATCTCAATAGCACATATTGGTATTAATTCTCCTTCCTTCCTTGTTCATTCCTGGATAAACCACTCACCCATCAACGTCGTCTGAGGCTCTGATTTCAGGGAACCCAGATTAAAATATCCAACGACTAGGTTTCAGCTCCTGATCTTCTCTGAACAAATGCTTGAATACATTTCTTTACACGAATACACACACATACATGCACATATACCATGCACATATGGACACAGACCAGGAATAAAAAATAATATACCAGCACAATGGAATCTAAATCCAAACAAAAAAATTAACATTTCTCTCCAAGCCCAAAGTCTTCAGAAAACTACCTCTGCTAAAGTATACCCCCAGTTTTCATTCCTGAACAGAAATGTTTTATTCTCAGGATAAAATATACATTCAGGTGACTTCAAGGCTTTCCCTAAGGGCCAAGGGTGAGGTTTTGCTTTATATTTGCATAACTCAAAGGCCCTAGAGACGGTTTTCCCAATCTGCCCAACTGTGAAAGCCAAGCCTCCACTTCCTGGATGACTGAAAACTGATCACAGATTTTTAAATGGCCATTGTATTCTCCAGCTTCTCGACTTCAAAAAATCTTGGGGTGTCTCAACTCAACCTGGTCACCCTTGGGCAGATTATGTTTTACATGATTCAGTTGAACTCCAAAATTACTCTTCTAGTGGGGCGAGGTGCCTCATGATCTATGACAGGATTCACACTGGGAAAAGGGGAGAAAAAGGAACCAAGAGTGCAGCCAGCTGTCACTTAAGTAGGGAAAGTTGCCCTATATTCCACTGGCCAGATTGTAATCACATAGCCACAGCCAACTGCAAGGAATGCTGGGGAATGTAGCCTTTATTCCGGGTGGTTTTGTGCCTGGGGCAAGATTTTAGAAGAGTAGAAGGGTGTCTTAGAACTAGCAGTTTCTGCTACTGCCATCCATAGCATAACCTCTCCAACTCCAGCCCGAATCTGAAACTCTAGTACTTAATAGAGTACCTTCAGCCCTGTCCAGGAACAAATTCTGGGAGGGCAAACTTTCTGGAAGCACAAATTGAGAACTCACTTTTCAGTCAGGGCTCAAGAAGGAGTGGCCAGCTAAAAATCTCCAAGTCAATTCTTTCTGTAGCCAATTTCGTCTCTTTTCTCTCCTCTCTCTCTCTTTTTTGAGACGGAGTCTCGCTCTGTCGCCCAGGCTGGAGTGCAGTGGCGCGATATTGGCTCACTGCAAGCTCCGCCTCCCTCAGCCTCCCGAACAGATGAGACTACAGGCGCCCGCCACCACGCCTGGCTAATTTTTTTTTTTTTGTATTTTTACTACAGACGAGGTTTCAACGTGTTAGCCAGGACGGTCTCCATCTCCTGAGCTCGTGATCCGCCCGCCTCGGCCTCCCAAAGTGCTGGGATTACAGGCGTGGGCCACCGCGCCCGGCCTCCAAGCCAATTTCTGACAAGCATTTGTAGGGTACTAGTCGGAGTCGTCCCGCAGTCACGGAAACCCCTCTGAGTCCCAGTCCGGTCCAAAAAAAGTACTTCCGGAAATAGCGCGCGGAGCGGGAGGATGCCCCGGAAGTATTTCCCTGGGACCTCCCCCCTCCCCCACACGTAGAAAAGATGGCTGCTGTGCAAGTTGCGGGTTCCTTGCCTTCCGAGCAGCCACGGGAGGCACCGCGGGAAGCAATCCCTGAGCGAGGCAATGCGTTTCGCCGCTTGTCTGCCAGGCTCTGCGCCCTTCGCCCGGATGACAGCAGCTCCGCCCGCACCGAGATCCACCTGCTCTTCGATCAGCTCATCTCCGAGAACTACAGCGAGGGCAGTGGCGTGGCTCCGGAGGTAGGCGGCGCGCCCCGGGAGAGAGCTGGTGCGGCGCCTGCTGGCCCCAGCCCCACCCCTCCGGGAACCCAGCTGGTGGCCTCCGGCTGCCTTTCCCTGCTGTTCCTACTCTCGCGCCTGATAATTTAGTTTCAGGCTGGCGTGCCCCCTCCTACCTTGGCACATTCTTAGTTCTCCATTTGGAAGACCCTGCAGTGCTTGGCACGCTCGACTCATTCAAAACCCAACTTGACGACTCCTGCTCTGATAATGCCTCGGGTTTCCTCTCTGATACCACCTTTCCATCTGTCCGCACCCTCCTTCACTTCCTCTCTATGCACCCAGAACACTTTGTTGACAAAATGCATTAGTACTGTTTATTGCGTACATGGTACACGGACCACGTGGGAATCTTACAACTTGAGTAGTATTAGGTCTTTTTTTGCTGATGAAAATACTGAAGCTCATAAAAATACAGTATACAAAACTTTGCCACAAAGCCCCTACGTTTTGTGTTCCTACATACTGGCTCCTCCCCTCTGCCGTCTTTTTGAGTAATCTTACACACATAAGGCCTTAAATTAATGAATTCTCTGAACTGTTGACACCATGGCCTTCTGGCCCTACGTAGGAAAGAGGGAATTGGTGCAAGTTGCCTGCTTGCACAGGCATTTCAAACTAGACAGTTCCTAAAGATGAAATTCATCAGCTCCAAACTCACATTCCCGTCCCCAACCCATCCCACCTTCCAACACACGTGCACCATCCACCAAGTCACACAAGACACAAACACTGTTTCTTCCCTCCTTCATCCCAGATCCTGTCCAATTCAGATATTTCAGAATGTGTCTCATATATATTTCTCAGTTCATCCCCTCCTGTCTGTTCCCATAGCGAGTGCCTTAGACCTCAGGCGAGGCGTCTTATGCCTGGACTATTCCACTGGTCTCTTCTAACTGATCTCCTGCCTCCTGTCTAGCTCCTCTCCAAGCCAGTCATTCCTCTGATGCTAGAATGATCTTTTCTTTAGGAGGAAAAAAATTTGATCATAAAATTTAAAATCTGCTTTGGGAAAGTCTTCAATACGTATCGGTAAATGGTTGAAGCAAGTTGCAGAACAATTCATACAGAATGAGATCTGTATGAAGCTGGAGGAGGGATTTTAAAATATGTGTGTTTATGTATGCAAAGTAAAAGGTCTGAAAGAATTGACAACAGAATAATAGTGTATGTCATTAGGAAGCAGAGTGAGATTAAGGCAGTAGTCGGGGACTTTTGCTGTATTTGTATACTTTGATACTTTTGCAACAAAACTTCGTACCTTTCCATTCTCTCCTGTTACTCCTTTTGTTCCTGTGTGCAGTCATTTAAAACTTGCTGTTCTTCAGGCACCTACTGGTGTTTCACACCTCCAGGTTTTTGCATACTCTGACCACTTTGCTTGCAGTGTTTTTTGATTCCCTATCTGGCAAATTTCTCCTCATCCTTCACATCATTCCAGGTTCTGCTTTACAATCACCTCCACAAGGCCTCCCTAATTACTGTTTCTGGACAGAGTTTGTACTTTATTCTTTCAGCACTTTGTTCACCTTATTTTAATTATTTGTTGTGTTTCTTTCTGTCACTAGTTTATGAGCTCTTTGAGGTTCGGGAACATGTTTGTTTTTACCTTTGGAGCCCAAGGACCTAGCACACTATGGCACATTGTGGGTGCTCGGAACCTTGTCATTCTGTAAACATCGATGGATGAATAAGAAGTGTGACTTGCAAATAGGTCCCTCTTCTTTTTTTTTTTACGAATTCCCTAATTATGCATAAAATCCATAGAAGTGTTAGGTCTGATTTTTCCCAATGACATTGAAAATCTGGTTCACTTACCTTTTGGTATTTTTAACTTGCAGTTTGTGCTTTTACGCCCTAGAAGCCTTTCTTTGGTTGTTTAATTATATTGTCTCTACATATATAGAGAGTAGAGTCTTCAGCCTGACCAAAACCATGTTGATTCTTTTCCTTTTTTTTTTTCTTTTTTCTTTTAAGAGACAAGGTCTCACTCTGTCATCCAGACTAGAGCGCAGCAGCAAGATCATAGCTCACTGTGATCTTGAACTCCTGGGCTCAAGCTGTCCTCCCACCTCAGCCTCCCAAGAAGCTAGGACTACACACCACCATTTCCAGATAATTTTTTTTTTTAAAGTTTTTTCTGTAGAGATGGAGTCTCACTATGTTGCCCAAGCTGGTCTTGGACTCCTGGGCTCAAGCAGTCCTCCCGCTTTGACCTACCAAAGAACTGGGATTAGGTGTGAGCCACTGTGCCTGACTTTTTCCTTCTTTTTTAGCACATTGTATTTTTGTGCTGTCACTTCATTTTTTTCCTTCCTGCCTCACATTTTCTTTCCCCATTTGAATGTGAATATTTACTTTTGTTTTCCCATTTGGCTGTGTTTTGAGGATCTTCACTTGACTAATAAGTATTTTACTTCTTCTTTGTTTTCTTTTTTTTGGTAGGACGTAAGCGCTCTTCTTGTCCAGGCTTGCCGACTGGTACCTCTTAACCAGAATCATCTTGTTAGCAAAGTGTCCCAGCTTATCCACCATTTACTTAACAGATTACAGGTAATCATGTGTGTAACTCTAGAATTCAGATCATGAACTTTTGAGACTAAGCAGATACCTTTGGAATACTACATCTGTAGTAGGTATGATAGATTGTTTTTTGAGATGCTATAGGAAAAGCAAATGCCTTAATAAGAATACTTTTAAAGCAAATATAACTGATCCAAAAAAAAAATTATTCTGTAGAATTCTAGTAGTTTGTCTATTAGAAGTATGCCTTTCTGTTCGGTTCAGTTAACCAGTATAATTCAGGCCCTCCAGCCTTATAATTTCTTTTTTTTTTTTGAAACAGAGTCTCACACTGTTTCCCAGGCTGGAGTGCAGTGGCGCTATCTTGGCTCACTGCAAGCTCCACCTCCTGGGTTCACGCCATTCTCCTGCCTCAGCCTCCTAAGTAGCTGGGACTACAGGTGCCCACCACCACACCTGGCTAATTTATAATTTCTTATGGAAGATATATTTGAACAAAATATATCTAAGAATAAATTGAAATAACCCCCTACCTCTTTCCCACCAATATTTTTCCCCTTTCCTGAAGCTACCATTTTTGTGGTCTACTTTTGATGCTTCTAAAATATAAGAAGTAGCTTGGGACCAAGGGGACAGAAGGATAAAAAGAGCCCAGTTATTTATTTAAGACTGTTACCACATGAGTATGTGCATATATTTAAGAGCACAAAATATATCAACTAGCATTATGTGAATTAGGATGCTTTTGGCTGCAAGAAGCAGAAAAGCCATCCCAGAGTCACTACACAACTTTTAAAAAAATAAAAAGGAATCACTCCATGTCCCAAGTCCCAAGGGAGGCATCTGTAGCCCCTTAATAATAAGAGGCTCATCTTTCCCTTCACCATCCTCAGCATGTGGGTTACCCTCAGCTAGCATCTCTCACAGTGATAAGATGGCTGTGCCAATTCTGGACATCCCCTGCCAAAGAAATGATTAATGTTCAGCAGAAGCTAAATAACTGTATTTTATATTGTGTCTCCTGTACTTAAGAGTAAGGAAATGTGTCCCATAAACTCTCTACTAGACTTCCCAGTATCTTGCTGGAGAGACTAATAGCTCCAGCCAGTAGTTTCAGCCTTCACTACACATTAGAATCACTTGGAGGAGGGCTTAAGCTCCCTCGATGCTTACAATGTGCAGCAACAATTAGCCTACATCAGGGTTTCTCAGCCTCAGCACTATTGATATTTTGGCCCATATATCGTTGTTTTAGGGGCTGTCTTGCACATTGTGGAATGTTTAGCAGCATCCTTGGCCTCTGCCCACTAGACGCCAGTAGCAGCTCTCCAATTGTGGCAGTCAAAAATGTATATAGGCATTGCCAAATGTTTCTTGGGGGTTAAGGTTGCCCCAGGTTGCCCCACTCTCTTAAACTAATTAGCGTTTACCCTTAGGTCTCATGTGGGAGAGGTGGACTTCCAAATTAAATTAGTACTCTGCCAGCAGGGAAGGAAGAAATGAACGCTGGTCGGTAACCAACCAACTCTGCTGCATGGAGTAAGGCTGTTTTCAGTTTAGAATCGTTGAAACTAACATGGGGTAGCTCCTGTATGTTTACTATTCTCAGGTGTATCGTCTTTGTAACACTGGCAATTAGAGATGTTCCTGAACACCTGTGGCACCTATCACCCTTTACCAGCTTTCCAGCATTTGGTGACAGTCTCAACTGTCCATGAATTGACACTTGGATTAGTCTGGTCTGTCCCAACAAGATGATCAGCTCCGTGACAGCAGGGATATGCCTTGTCTTCAGGGGGTATTCCCCAGGTCATGTTAGAGATGCAGTAGGTGTTTAGCAGTTATATTGGTTCACTGTGTATTCGTTGAGTGTATTATGTATAAGGCAGTTTAATTAAATTTCAGTGCATTGAAATACTCATATCTGTGTATTCACAGCTGCCAATGTCTGGTTAGTTCAAGGAAAAGTTACAAGGACTTTATCAAGTTCTACTTTACTAAAGAGGAAGAAGTGAGCAAGACCTTAGGGCGGGGAGAAGGCCCCTACGTTGATCAAACTTTCAGGCCCTTTAGAGGTGATCCTTTTGACACATAAATGACAGACACACACTCTGTCTTTTATACAGCTTGATTCAGGTGAGCATACATGTCCATAAAAGCATAATATCTTTTAAAATTTAGATCAGAATATATCTTTTCCTGTTGTGTTAGGTAATTGTGGATGAACAGCACTTGGATTTCCTGTTGGCGTATACTATTTCGGCTATTCATCAGTGTAGTTCCTGGACACACATGGAAATTCTTCAAGCCCTGGCAGCTCTGGTATACTGCAATGGCTCAAAATGTCAAAAGGTAGTTTAAAGTGCTTTATCCTTCCTTTGAAAGGCCAGGAGCACAGGCTCTGGTGCCAACACTGTGTTCAGGTTTCTATCTTGCTACTAATCTCTAGCAATTCTTACTTAACCACTCTGGGCCTTGTTTCCTCATGTATAAAATTGTTACTCTGAGGATGAAGTGAGACAATACTTGTCAAGTTCATGGCCCTCGGTAAATAGTAACCATTATTCTTAATATTATCATTACCCATCAGCCATTCGGCCACACTAAAGAGCATCAGCTGCTTCCTAGGCTGGGAGTAATGATCCTTATTGATGCTTTTTGGCATATCTTTGCATATCCATCTGAGACATTTATCTAACAGCTAGTCTTTTGGTGCTTAACTGCCATTTAGTTAAAAAAAAAAAAAGAAAGAGAGAGAGAAAGAGAGAGAAAAAAGAAAGAGAAGGAAAGAAAAAGAAAGAAGAAGGGAGGGAGGAAGGGAGGGAGGGAGGGGGAGGGAGAGGGGGAGGGAGGGAGGGAGGGAAGGAAGGAAGGAAATCTGTGTAAAACATAATATTTTCCTAGAAGCTTTTCTTTGACCTATGTTGACTCTTACTTGTCTTAGTACCTCCCAGAGCTACTAGGCAAGACCGGACTCTTAATGAAGTTGAGTGACTTGGCTCAGTCTGATCCTGAAGTCAGGAGAGCTGCAGTACATTGTATGGCAAACTTATGTCTCAGGTATGTGGCTCCAGTCAAGTTTCTCAACAATCATAAGATAGTTCCTCTGTTGGGCCTTTTGTAGGTAGTTCCCTCTGCCTGAAGCCGGGGCCGACTTAGACAAATAGCTAACCTTGCATTTCCCATGTACTTTACTAATAAAATCATCTTATGTTGTTTGTTAATTTTAATATTGCTTGTAAAGAAGGAAAAAATAGACTAGGACCATATTCCTAAAATGTGGTAATAGTGACATAATGTGCAGTATGTCAAAATTTTGTTTTCTATTGGTATAACTTCTAAGGATATTAAGTTTTTAGAAGGATATATTCATGCAAATTTCAGTGCTGGCGAGATGTATCTGTAAAGGGCAATTTCTTTTCTTTGAAGAAGACAGAAACAGTCCCAGCTGCTCCCCCTAGATTCTCACAGTAGGCAATTGGAAACGAGCAGCACAAATGTGAACTCGTGTCTGCGTGGCACAGTGCTGTCCAGTGAGTAGGAAGGCAGGCACAGATGTGTGATTCTAGCTTGACAGGACCTGTCTGGATTATTTCCCTCTTGGGACTGAACAGCAGAACTAAAACAAGATTTTTCTTTCTCCATACTTTTTCTGCCACAAAATTCTGTAACCTTTCCTTATGGAATCCACCCTTCCTCTTACTCATTCTAGCCCTGTGCCTGTCCCCCAGCAGTAACTAATTAACCAAAATAATAACTTTTCATAGCATAGTTGCATTCAAGGGTATATTCCAACTCTAATAGTCCATATTACTGCTATTTTTAATTAGTCTTTTGCAAGCCTCATTTCAAAAGAGACTGAGTTTGAGTTGTTTTCTCTATACGCATTTAGTGTGCCCGGACAGCCATATTTGGAGGAACCCTACCAAAATATCTGTTTCCAAGCTTTCCTGACTATTTTACAATCTCCAAAATCATCTGATATGGATGATATCACATTTTGCATGGTAAGTGGACTATCATTGCTCTAGTGAATGTCGTGGATATGTCTAGCAGCAGATTGGAAAAGTGTTACTAATGAGTTTAATTTGCACTATTAGCTTTGTCTAGAGCAATACACATATATGAAATGTTTGTAACCTAAAAAGACTAAAATCATACCATTTCGGTTTAAATTATAAGAAGCTTTTTATTTGCTACATTTTACAATTCTAGCTTTTTAGAGGAAACTATTCTTTTTCCTTCTGAGTATAAAAGCAACAGTTGCAGGCTAGTGACTATCTTTAAGATGGAAGTGAAGAGAGATTTCGGCCGGGCGCGGTGGCTCAAGCCTGTAATCCCAGCACTTTGGGAGGCCGAGATGGGTGGATCACGAGGTCAGGAGATCGAGACCATCCTGGCTAACATGGTGAAACCCTGTCTCTACTAAAAATACAATAAATTAGCCAGGTATGGTGGCGGGCGCCTGTGGTCCCAGCTACTCGGGAGGCTGAGGCAGGAGAATGGCGTGAACCGGGAGGCGGAGCTTGCAGTGAGCTGAGATCCGGCCACTGCACTCCAGCCTGGGCGACAGAGTGGGACTCCGTCTCAAAAAAAAAAAAAGAGATTTCAGCAAATATATCTGCAATATTTTATTTCTTTTTTAAAAATATGCAAATGACATTTGTTAACATCTTTTAGAGTAACACATTTCAAATGTTATGTATCTAAGATAAAGTTCCTTCTAGTCTCCTGCTCAGATATAGCCACTGAAGACAATTTGTGCTGTGTGCTCTCAGTTTTTTTTAATATATGTAAATGAGCATATTTACAACTTTAAATGGGGTCATATTTAACATGCTCTTTTGTAACTTTCTTGTTTTGTTAAAACTTAATATCTCTGGGACATCTATTTGGTTCCTGTTAATATACCTCATACTTTCTAACTGCTATGGCTGGAAGACCTTGGACAAATTAGTTAACTTCTTGGAGCCTCCATGTTCCTCCCTGAAAAGGGACTGATATAACCACGTTGTGGGGTTCTTAAGAGAAGTAGATGAAATAAAGCATTCAAAGGGTCTGCTGTTCTTGTTGTTGAGTTTTACATTTAGTAGAGGGTTAGCTTCTTTTATAATTATTATCATAATCATCATAACTGAAGTTTTAAAAATTTTCCCACTATTTCAAACAAGACTACAGTTCACATCATCCCAACGTAGGAAGTATTTCTTAAGGACAGAGTTCTAGAAATGAGATTACTGAGTCAATAAATCAATCTTGGTCAGAATTGCCCTCCAGAAACCAAGTTTTTATAATTTATCACCTGTTCCCACATACGTCCCCTTGCCTTTAAGAGGGCTGGGTTTGCCATGTTACAGAGCTTCCCCAATTCTGATCTGTGCTATCTCTCTTTTATCCCTTATCACAGTTTTCTTGCTAAACATCTTCTCTCTTTTTTCTTACTCACCATTTGTACGTATGGGTTTATAAACATGTACAATAAGACCACTTCATTATTCTTTTCTTCTAGAAAAGAATTCATGGTAGTTTATCAGGTCTCCTTGGATCTTCGTCTCTGCTCTGTGTGTATATGTGTGTGTCTAAAGGTTTTTTTCATTATCCAGGGACTGTCTCTCTTCCTTCCTAAGTGGTGCTAGTAAGTTGATTCCTGGACAACCAGATTTTATTTTGCCTTCTAACTGGGTCTCCCTTTTCCCCCTAGTTACTGCAAAATGCATTAAAAGGTATACAGTCACTTCTAAATGGTGGGAGAATGAAACTAACGCAGACTGATGAACTTGGAGCACTTTTAGCTGTGCTAAAGGTAAGGCAAGTCTTCATGTGATCTTTCCTGTTTCAACCCATGGTACAAGGACCACTTTACATCCTGATTCTAAGGCTTTGAGGTATTAAAAGTTCTTACATATATTTTGAGAAAGTAGACAAAAATGTTCATATTCAAAGACACTTAAGAACAGAAAATAATAAATCTCCATTTAATACATGCATCAACATTTTAAAATTATCTCTGAATCTTAGGAAGGGAATAGGTAGGGGGGTATGACCTGTAGAAAATTTAATTATAGATTATGTTGTACCTGTTTGTACTTGCAAGAAGAGCCAGTGCTTCTCCTTGACTTTCTCCTCCAAGTAGTAGGCAGGCCAACCAAGACGTGTGTCAGTGGGCAGCTTCCGAGCGTGCCAGTCAGTCGGAAAGTCAGGCCAGCATCTCCGGGGACCCGGCGTCTTCAGCCAGCAAAATAAGAAGTAATTCTTTCCTTGGAGCATTCTCTTGCTCCCACATCAAATAGAGAAACAGCTATAGGTAGAGATAGGTAAAAAAAAAAAAAATGATGAATTGGTTTAAAAAAATTATAGACAGATAAAGTAGTTGGATAAATTTTATGAATAAATGAGGAAATTAAAAGCAGACCTGATTTGATCTGACCAAACCAGATCCAGCTGGAAGCCAGATAAAAGCTCTTCTTTAAGCCCTATGCCTTCAAGGTATCTATTTTCTGTCTCATTTATATTTCCTTAGTAGGCTTTTGAACATTAATCTGTGAGTGTTCTGATCCAGACCTGGTAAATAGCTCTGTTTTATGATTAATGGTTTTTTTGGTTTTGTGTGTGTGTGTGTGTGTGTGTCCTTGATTCATCATTATTAGAAGTTCATGTTTCACGGACTCCCCGGACTAAACATAGAGATGCCCACGGTGTTGTACCCAACTCCGCTTCCTCAGTATGATGGGCGAACACCTATCAAACCACAGCAATCAGAATCCAGTGCTTCTCGACCAACTTTGGTACATTTATGTTTATTTTGATTTAAGTTGTGGCTTGTTTTTAATAGATTGCTATGTGTGTTTTCTGTGATTTGCATCACTACTACCCTAAAAACCTACCTTGAATTTTATTTCAGTTTAGGGTTGTTAGCATAGTAACTTTAAATTCATCTGATGCTCAAAGTACCAGTTAAGCATCTTATACTTCTTAGAGGTATAGTCAGTGTGACAGCTATAAAAATGAGCATCCACTTTATACCCCAAACCAAGCATTCTCATCCCCATGATGCTCAAGACCAGGAGTCAACAAATGTTTTCTAAACTTTCTCTACAAGGCTAGTAAATACTTTAGGTCTCTGTCATAACTGCCAACTCCATTGTAACAGAGCAAAAGCAGCCATAGACACTATGTAAATGAATGGGCATGACTGTTTCACTAAAACTTTATTTGCAGAAGCAGGCTGAGTGTTGGGCTGGATTTGGCTTTTGGGCTATAATTTGCCAGCCCTTCTCTAGATTGTTAGAAGCCCACCTACCAGTCAGCGCGCCATCTCCACACCTTACATTCACCTGATTTCCCAGCCTTTCCAGATAGCTGCCATCTGCCTCATGCTTAGGTTGGAGAACCTGGAGCATACAGATGTATGGCCAAGGATTCACTTCCAGAAATGTCATACCTGATCAAAATGCTTCTTATTAGAAATTATTTCACTCATTCACTCACTCAGCATTTACCCAACATCTGCTGTATTCCAGACACTGTGCTAAGCACTAAGTATATAGACTGGCTGCTTTTAGGAGTTTGAGGGAGAAGGCAAAGATGGATAAATAGACAACTACAATGCAATATTATTGTTTCTCTCGTTAGAATATTCACAGAGTACTCTGGGAACACATGGAGGGCACCCAGTCTAAATGGAGGGAGGAGGAGGAGGCTTTTTAAAGGTGTGGTAGCTAAACAGAGATTTCAGAGTGAGTAGCAGTACTGACAAGGAGGAATGAGTGTTTCATGCTGATAAAATGAAAGGCGCATAGACATAGAGAATGAAAGTATACATTGCCCATTTGTTAACTAGCAGGACTAGAGTTTCAGTGCGGCAGAGAAAGAGTGGAGCCATTGTGTAGCAGAGGCTGAATGATGAGATTCTTGTACAGGAGGCTGAGGAGTTTGGGTTTTTATCTCGTAGGCAATAGAGATTCATTAAAGAATCTTGTATAGGGGAATGACGTTATCAGATTTGCGTCTTAGAAAAATCACTGTGGTAGCAAATAAAAAAGTATGGGTCTGGGGCCACAATAAGTAGTCCAAGATAGAAGTAATGGGAGCTTCCTTCCCCAAGGCCACAGACTTTGAGAACGTGGAGGAAGACCCAGATTCCAGATATACTTGGATATCAGAAAGAGAGTAACAGGGAGAAAGAAAGAAAGAAACTGGCTTCTACTTAGTATCTACTTCTACAGAGACCCAAGGCCCTGAAATGTGCATTGTATGTAATGGACTACCATCTCTTCTATGCAGGCATGTAGTGATACTAGCTATGTATCTTACTTGGAGAACTGATAAAATAGACACTCAAGTCATTTTCTATAGGCTTTAATGCTCTTGAGAAATTCCAATTGAGAAGGCTGAGTACTTTCCCAACACCGGTGCAAGGTAGGTGGTATTAGCCGCATACTTACAGATAAGCAAGGTCAAGCTCAAGAGAGGCTAAATGATTTGCCTCATGTCAGAGAGGTACAATTTAAACCCAGGCCACGTGTTTTACTGTGTCTCATGTATTTCATTCCTTCTTTCTAATAGTAGACAGTCAGCACTTAGCATCGTGCCTGTTGCCTAGGGTGTTAAAGAAGTTCCACTTTTTTCTTTTCTCTTTTCTTCTTTCTTTAAACTACATGTTGGGGACATATTTAGTCACTTTAACATGAAGAAGTAATGATTCAGTGAAAAGCCATTCTGAAGTAGCTGTTATGTATGTCTTCGTTTGCTCCTAAAATCAGAATAAAAAGAAAAAATCCAAAGTTAAACCAAAGAAAATCCAGCAAGGAGAGGAGGAGGAAAAGGAATCCAGTGGTGAAATAGAGGCAGCCTCAGTCACTGGCACAGGCAGAGTGAACCTGCATGAAGGGAACACTTGGTCTCCCTCCTCCCTGGGTGTCCAGAGTTTGCCTTTAGATGGAAGTGGAGCTGCAGGAAAAGATGGAGTCTCCTCACCCTTCAGTTCTTCCAGTTGGAAAAGGGTCAGCAGTAGTGAGTCAGACTATTCTGATGCTGAAGGAGGCATGCAGAGTAAAATGAGGTAGTAGTATTTTGTTACATTTTTATATGTTGTATTCTAAGTTGCATGTAAGTTTATAACTTTCCTGAAAAACTTGACTGCTGCATGTGATTTAACTTGAAGAGCCTGATTTCTGGGGGCATGGTGTTATTCAGAACATGACTTGCTGTCTTGATCTGCCATTGCACATGTCATTCCTCTCCTTAGAATATTCTTTTTTGCCTTTTCATCTTGCGAACCACTACTCATCTTTGATATAGGCTCTGAAATCATATTCCCCGGGAAGCCTTTTCTGCCTTAGTGTTATTCGTGACATATTATGGTTATCTCCTTAACTGTCCCTCGCTGCCTGGCTTGTCAAGGCTGGGGCTTTGTTTATGTCTAGCAGCCTCAGCATGATGCCTGGCACATACACAGGTCATTCAGTAATACTCGTTGAATGGATGGATGGATACTTGGCAGTGTTTCGTGTCGAACACTAGTTTCCTGATATCAAAATGTTGTCCTCTTGTTCTCCAGTTGTGTTTTTTAATTGTCAGCCTTAATAACTTGTTATAGAAACAAATTGTCTTAACATGTTTTGATTGTACTTTGAAAGAAAAATTTTAATAACACATTGACATCTTTAGGAATTATTTAGAATGTTTAATTTTTGTATGTATCTTTTGAATTAGTGGAAATAAATACCAAATACCGTTTCATGTTTGCATTTTGAAAAAAAAATGATTTTTTAAATGGTTTTTTTTTTTCTCTTGGGTATGAAAGGTCTTACCAAGCCAAAGTTCGCCAAGGAGCCTTAGTTTGTTTTCTTTCTACTATAAAATCGATAGAAAAAAAAGTTCTTTATGGCTACTGGTCGGCCTTTATTCCTGATACGCCTGAACTTGGCAGCCCACAATCAGTGTCCTTGATGACTCTTACGTTGAAAGACCCTTCTCCAAAGGTAAGAGAATTTAAACTCTAAGCTTTATAATAGGAAGAAAAAATGTACAGATCCTTATTGTTTTCTCTGCCTTATCCTATCTGATCTGAATATAGCTCTTAGTAACACTGACCCAAGTTCTGACTTGAGAACCACTGGACAGACAGGAAAATAGGAAGTGGGCTTTTGTGAATAATATGTTGAGGCTGATCATGTAGGATCACTTCTGCCCCAGGGCTTGCTTGAAGCCTGAGCACACTGAATTCTAACTTTGGTGTCTCCCTTGAACTGCACTGAAGCAGCTGTGCTTCTCTTCGTTTTGTGGAAATGTTGATTGCTGTGGTATTTATAATAAGAAAACATCAGAAATGGCTTAAACAACTCAGTAGAATATTACGGTACCTAATGGCTATGAAGGATGCATAAGGCTTAGAAAAATGCTCAAAATGTTCTGTGAAAACACAGGATATAGAATTAAATATACAGTAGGATCCCAAACATGTTTTTTTTCCTTGTAACTTTTCCAGTTTTCAAATCATGTGTAATAAATATTTACATATGTTAATGAGAAAAACTTATTTTTAAAAAAGAAGAAGAAAATGATTGGCAAGCATGGATACCTATAGCAGGATATCTCACGGCTGATCAAATATTTGCCTCTGCTTAAATATGTTAATTCCTCTCCAGAATTTAGCCACTTAACCAAGTAAGGAAAATAGCCTGCTGTTTACAACAGTGAATATTAAAAAGTCATGCCGAATGGCATCTGGGTGTCCTCAGGTAACCAACTACCCACAAAGAGAGGAGTTTTAATTAGGCCAACAGCATATTGTTCCTTTTCTATTTTAAAGATTATTAAGGGGTCAGGGGTGGTAACCCACAATACGTTGGAATTCCATATGAGTCATCTCCTTGAGTAACTTACTATATAAGAACATTTCTGGATGACCCATCAGAAGCTTTTACAGGGTAAAGAAAAATAAGTTAGCTTCAATTTTATACCCCCGCAAAAAAATGACTTGTGGGGTATTTCAAATACTCCTTATCCTAGGAAATTAAACTCGCAGAAATTTTACAAATTAACTAAATCAATAGTGAATGAGAACCTGGGAGAAAAATGGAAAATGAGTGGTGGCAAATAAATCAGTAATGAAGCCATTAGAGTAATTGAAATAAAAGCTGCTAAAAATACTGAGAACATATATTTGAAGACACTCCAGCTAGGGGAGCTGCCAGCAGTGGCCAAGGAGATGGTGCTGTGGAGCAAGCAGCAGCCCAGCTTTATCACCTGTATCACAGCTGCCCAGCCAAGGGGATGCGGGACGTGGGGGTTTGGAACATGAATACATAAAGGTTATGAGGTTGGCCGGGCGAGGTGGCTCAAGCCTGTAATCCCAGCACTTTGGGAGGCCGAGACGGGCGGATCACGAGGTCAGGAGATCGAGACCATCCTGGCTAACACAGTGAAACCCCGTCTCTACTAAAAATACAAAAACTTAGCCGGGCGAGGTGGCAGGCGCCTGTAGTCCCAGCTACTCGGGAGGCTGAGGCAGGAGAATGGCGTGAACCCGGGAGGCGGAGCTTGCAGTGAGCTGAGATCCGGCCACTGCACTCCAGCCTGGGTGACAGAGCGAGACTCCGTCTCAAAAAAAAAAAAAAAAAAAGGTTATGAGGTCATAGCTGATGAAAATGAATTGGAATAATTTTCCTGACGTTTATATCTTCATATTTTTAAAAATGTTTACATTTCACTTAAAGTGCCATGAGAAATTTCACATATTGCAAAAGTGGTCTTATCCATCTCCTTGATTTACATACCTTTTAGACTTGTTCTAGGTATTTAAGTTTGGTGAATGCAAGAAATGTGCTGAGGAAAAAAGATACAGAACTTCCTTCTGGAGATGTCATAGATCCAGTACAAAAAGCCACAAGGAACTCCTGGAAAAATAAAAAACAAAACAAAACAAAACAAAAAAACAGTTGTCCTACTTAAAGAGGATTTTAAAAGATGAAAGAAATTAAATTAGTTCAGTATAATTGCAAGTGAAATGATTGTACTTGAGAGATTTTTTAAATCAAGTGTTAACTTGGAAGGGTTTAAAAAAGTGTGGAGATTATTGTTTACAACAAAGCTTGGAACATACCTTTGCAGTCTGTCCATAGTGTAAGTAACTGTGCACCAAGACATATACTAGAAGGAAGTGTTGTGGTAGGTGATGTCATAGGACAGCCTTTTTTTTTTTTTGAGATGGAGTTTCGCCCTTGTTGCCCAGGCTGGAGTGCAATGGTGGGATCTCGGCTCAACGCAACCTCCACTTCCCGGGTTCAAGTGATTCTGTCTCAGCCTCCCGAGTAGCTGGGACTACAGGCATGCACCACCATGCCTGGCTAATTTTGTAGTTTTAGTAGTGACAGGATTTCTCCATGTTGATCAGGCTGGTCTGGAACTCCTGACCTCAGGTGATCTACCTGCCTCGGCCTCCCGAAGTGCTGGGATTATAGGGCGTGGAGTCCACCGCACCCCAGGCCCCAGTGGGGACAGGGCCTTTTAAAAATAAAGAGCTTTCTTTAGGAAAGATTCTAAGATGTGCATTAAAAGTTAAAAAAAAAAAAAAAAAAAATTAAAAATAACAGATCATGTAATTAGAATAGAACAGCATTCTGGATTGACCAGATTAAAAGAGCTGCCATGATTTCAGGCCAAGTGGTCATCTCAGGTATTCCTTGTGCATGTAGAGTTAGATGGCTGGAGTTCCTTTTAGCCAGGATTAAATAAGACAACAATAGTTTATCTTGTCATTGAAGTGCTTAGTGGTTAGTTTTGACTTTATGGCAGGTCTGATATGACCCATGGCATACTCAGCTGAAAGTACAATTTTAACTGGTGTACTGAGAAATTTTCTAAAGACCGATGGACAGAAGGAAAGGTGATTAGACTCTTCCAGTCAGAATGCCAACAATAAACAGAGGCTGCTTTTAGGAAATTGAAACATGATATGCTAGAATGGTTAACTGGGGAGAAGAAAACTTAGAAATGTCCATTAGGATTTGGCAGTGTTGTGGTATTTGGGAAATGATCACGTTTCCATGTTGGAAATGTGCTTCAGAGAGCACATCTTACATGCTTCCAAAAGGGACAGAGCAAATTATCAATAAAAAGAACAAGACTAATTTAATAATTTCTTTTATATGATTTCCTTAGGTGTTATAAAGGCATATTGTGGAGAATATCATCAAGACTTGTCTAAGAAACAAACTACAGGGCAAACCTTTATCTTGGTACCTTGAGAATTATCCTGGTTTACAAATTTTAGGATGATGATTTATTGCTCTTTTAGATTACTATAAAAAGTGAAAACAAATCGAAATCAAGATAATAGATGGTATAACTAGAAAAGAGAATGAAAAGGTTGGAATTGTTAACTGTTATGGAATGGTAGATTTTCTCTCATATGGCCTGCCCAGAACAGGCAATCTTTGCTTAGTGTATTAGCAAAGAACAGGCAGTCTTTAATTAGTGTATCTGTATTCACGCTTCTGATAAAGACATACCCGAGACTAGGAAGGAAAAGCAGTTTAATTGGACTTACAGGTTCACATGGCTGGGGACGCCTCAGAATCATGGCAGGAGGCAAAAGGCACTTCTTTACATGGCGGCAGCAAGAGAAAATGAGGGAGAAGCAAAAGTGGAAACCCCTGATAAACCCATCAGATCCTGTGAGACTATCACGAGAATAGCAGGGGAAAGACCAGCTCCTATGATTCAGTTACCTCCCACAAGTCCCTCCCACAACACGTGAGAATTCTGGGAGATACTATTCAAGTTGAGATTTGGGTGGGGACACAGCCAAACCATATCACTTAGATACCTCCCGATCCAGAGTCCCTGACACAATGCTGAAATGCCTTTACGTAAAAGACAACTGACTTTGGAAGTTAGATCCAATAAAATAACATGTGAACAGTCAGGTACCCTGTATGGAAACTTCAATGGTATCCACTCCCAGCAGGAACTTCTTTGTCACCCTTCCAGAAATATTCTGAGACCAAACACACATTAAGAGGAAAACAAATTAGGATTGACTAAGCTGCCTCAGCAAACATTTCTGCTACGTTCTTAAGTAGCAAAAAAGGAAAAGTACTTTTCTGTTTTATTAGCTTTAGATAAGCCTTCATGACCAAGGAGATGAAACTATACACTAGTAAAACCAAGCACACTGACTTTTGTAAGACTGAAAAGCCTTTCATTCATCATTTTAAATATTCGGACAATAAAAACTTAACAAAATGAGCTCCCTGGAGAGCTACACCTATTATGATTTACTTGCACATTAGTAATTTCTGCTGAAAGTACTGATTAGAACTGGCAAACAAGATATTAAATATTGATATAAGAATAAATAAAGCAAAACTTATACTAGATTCAGTATCTTAAGTAACAATTATAACAACAAAGATATGAGAGTTTAAAGGAAATTAACTCAGAACTGTGAGAAGTACAATATGATGTAGTATCAAATTTCTATGTAGATTTTATAACTTGGTGGAAAAAAATAACGAATTTCTATGACATTTGTTTGCATCTGTGATAGTCGTGATTTTCCCCTTAAGATGCCAAAATTGTGCTAAAATTTTTGACTTTTGGAATGTTAGTTCATTTCTTTCCATTCGATTTTTAATTTTATTCAGTTTGTGAGCTGTTGGAATTGTGAATTTTATTTGTCTTCTAAAGAAATGAAGGTTTAGCATAAGATCTATCTTGTTGAGTTCAGACCAGCCTCTAGTAGGGATTGGCCAACTGTGGCCTGTAGGGCAAATCTGGCCCACCACCTGTTTTTGTATGGCCTGTGAGCTAAGAACGGTTTTTACACTTTTAAATGGTTTTAAAATAAAACAATAATATCTCATGTGAAAATTATATGGAATTCAGATTTCATTGTCTGTAAATCAAGTCTTTTTGGAATACAACCATATTTACTCCTTTACATGTCTGTGCTACAATCATAGAGTTGGGTGGTTGTGACGGAAACTGACCTGCAGAGTCTAAAATATAAAATGTGTACCACTGGCTCTTTACAGAAAAGTTTGCCAGCCCCCGATCTGAGTCCTTTTTGGATCAGCTGACTTGTGTTCATGCTCTTGATGTCTCGTTTTTTCACACATATACACACAGTTTCCTAATACATTGTCAGTTTTCCACCTTAGGGGATTATGCTTCATTCTGAAGTCTGATGCTACTGTACTTCAGATTTCTTTTCAGAGCAATAAGTCTAGATTTCTACGATTCCAGTCTATAAAAGGCCTGCCTGGTGATTTATCATCTGGTTGTTTGGAGATAATATAATTGAAGGCTTTTGGGAAAAGCTTTTTTGCTCCAAACTCAGATATGCTTCATATTGGGTAACTATCTAGGTTAGATTTTACAATTGTAATGTTGATTCCCTGCTTTTAAATTTTTTGACTAAAAATGTTAATTGTCATTTTTGGATGAGCTGGCTAAAGAGAGTACAATATTATTCCGTATTAATAGTCCTTTGCTTATTACCTGTATCCTGTTTTTGTAAAGTTGGACTTTCTTTTCCTTTCTGATTTTTAATACTGCAAAATCGTCAGAGTACCAATTGAAAGTAATCTTTCAACCTTATTAAGAAAATCTTGGTGCCAGTGACACCTTTCCTGACAAATATAGCAGTCCATGACAAAGATGTACTTTTTGTCCTTTCCATTCATAAGATTGTACTTAATGGTATTCCTTTTTTGAATTGTCAAATACTGTCACTGCAGGCAGTGTTATTTCCTGTACCTGAGACTGTTTCTAAAAGTTGGATCACTAATGATGTCTGCCAAGTTGTATGTACACCAAGTTCCTAAAGTCCTATTTAAGTTAACATTGAACACATACGTAAGAGTGGAAGATGAGGCATAATGTTCTCAGGAACTTTGATAGGAAACAGACTCTAGGCACATGTATTTTTTCTACCCCGTGGGCTGTTTAGTTCTAACTTTTCAGTTGGCATTCTGCTTGAATAAAGCAGGCCTCTAATCCTTGTTCTCATGCTCAGGATTTCAGATTTTTATGCTATGGTGTAGCTTAGATTTACTTCTTACTATAAGAAATCTAACAGCAATGTGTTTCTAGAGTTTTTTTTAGCCAGGTATGGTGGCACACACCTGTAGTCCTAACTACTTGTGGGGCTGACGTGGGAGGATTGCTGGAGCCCAGGAGTTTGGGGCTGCAGTGGTTATGATTGCACCACTGCACTGCAGCCTAGGTGACAGAGCGAGACTGTGTCTCTAAAATAAAAATAAAATAAAGATTCTTTTCTTAGGTGTGGGATGCAAGTGGCCTAGTTTTTAGGAGCTAACAGATAATCCCATTGCCTTTATTCTTCTAATTAAAATGATTGTAAATACTTTGAACATTAAGCATGTATAGGAAGAAGGGAATCTGACTCCTAATTTTCAGCTAATCAATGTGAATCATCCCGAAATTTCAGACACGTGCCTGTGCTCTGCAAGTTTTATCTGCCATCTTGGAAGGCTCAAAGCAATTTCTTTCTGTTGCTGAAGATACCAGTGACCACAGAAGGGCTTTTACCCCCTTCTCTGTAATGATCGCTTCCAGCATTAGAGAGTTGCACAGATGTCTTTTGTTAGCTTTGGTGGCAGAGTCATCCTCACAGACCCTTACTCAGATAATTAAGGTAATGTACCAACTGCGGGTTCCAGAAGGGGCTTCTCTGTTTAAATTTTGTATACTGTTTTACATAGCCCAAAAGTAACTTGCCTTAAGAATATAACTAAGTAATAGTTTTATTAAAAATACCCTATTTGGAAGTCTGTACCTACTTGTGTGATCTTACCTATAATCTCTGTATCTCTGTATGTCCTAATAAATGATTTGCTAAAAATACTTCTTTATCTTTAGTTGTACCAATGAGAATACAAGTATTAGTTTAAAAAAAAAAAAAGAACGAATTTTTAGTTGTGTGAAAACTTTTCTAATTAAACGCTGCAAAATTTGTTTCTATGCTGTGGTTTAATCAAGCCTTTTGATGAACTACTTTTTGTGTTTTACAGTGCCTTGCAAATTTAGTATCAAATGCACCTTATAATCGTCTAAAACTCAGCCTGCTGACCAAAGTCTGGAACCAGATAAAGCCTTATATTCGCCACAAAGGTTGGTAGTGTCTTAAACCTGATGGCTTCTTTATATCAGATACAGACTATTAGTAAAAATACATAGATATAGATATATGTATATATTCAAAGCATTTTTACAACTCTTAAGAGATCTCTGCTTATTCTTCTCAACTTTTCAGGGGTATCAGCTGTTGCAAGAATTGACCCCTCAAGTCCCAGTGGAAGTGAGCTAGAGAATTAATTGTAAAGTGTAATGCCTGTTTAATGTTCAGGGCAGTGACCAGAGTATCCCTTTACAATTAAGACTGAGCCGGGTGCAAGCAGCCCCACTCAGGGATGTGATAGTTTATATCCCTTAGGCATAAGTAGAGCATGGATGGATGGTTAGATAGACAGACAGACGGACAGATAGGTACTATCTACTTTTTGGAAAGAAAAACGAATACAAAATTTAACTTCTTTGACGTTATTTCCTGTAAGTTCAGATAAAATCCCAGAACTTCAAATCTTTACTAACTGCAGCCTTATTATTTCCTCCCACACATAATGTGTATGTGCTATAAACACTTGCCTTTCATAGATTTGCTTTTCTTTTGTTTGCAGGCTTTCACATCACACCACATTCTGATGAGTTCAGTTTTTCAGACAGGATTGTAACAAGGAAGGAATAGTGGCTGTTTTCAGTGACATAGTGGGAAGAGCATGGGACCTGAAGTCAATCCAAGGGTCTGGAGCCCACTCCCATTTTTGCCACCTCATGGCCATGGCCCTCTCTGAACCCTAATTTCTTGCTAACAGCAAGAATTATAACTATGTCATAAGATTTTTATGAGGCTCAAATGAGATAAGAGGTGTAAACTAAGTCCAGTTCACTACTTACATTAATGTGTAAAAAAGGGACCCAGAAAGATAAGTCTTACCCTAAAGTTTCCCATCACATTCATGGCAGAAATAAGATGAAAACAACCCCTGCTCATTCCACCGTACCCGCTTTTCATTATCTGCATCTGCAGCTGAAGAGAGTGCACCATGTCTTAAAGGTTCCTTTCAAGTATCTGACTTTATCCTCAAGTAACTTTTTTTCATTAAAATGTTCAAACCCTGAAATTCTTAGGTATGAGCCTAACAAAATATGTACAAGATCTATATGAAGAAAACTGTGAAACTCTGATGAAATAAATCAGATAACTAAATGAATGGACAGAGATTCCATGTTCATGGATAGGAAGGCTCAATATTGTAAAGATGTTACTTCTTCCCAGCTTGATCTATAGATTCATTGCAGTCTCAATCAAAATTCCAGCAGGTTACTTTGCAGATATCAACGAACTGATTCTGAAATGTATATGGATAGGCAAAAGATCCAGAATAGCCGACACAATATTGATAGAGAAGAACAAAACTGAGGGACTGACATTCCCTAACTTCAGAATCTACTATAAAACTACATTAATTAAGACAGTGTGATATTGGTCAAGGAAGAGACAAACAGATCAGTGGAACAGAATAGAGAGCCCAGAAATAGACCCACATAAATATAGTCAACTGATCTACAACAAAGGAGCAGATACTTTTCAACAAACGGTGCTGGAACAGCTGGACATCACATGCAAGAAAAAAAAAAAATGAGTCTAGGCATAGACCTTTTATTTAGCTTTTTAAAAATATTTCTTGTTAAAATCCGGGGTTCATTCAGTGTACATGCATTGCATTTAGTTATCATATCACTGTAGTCTTTTTAAATCTAGAGTCCCCCCACCCATCTTTTTTACATCAAACTGACTTAGGAAAGAATCCAGCCCAATTGTCTTATAGAATGTGAACTCTAAGCTCGTCACCAAAGATAACAAACCACATTCTCAATTTGTCAGATTGTTTCTTTATGGTGTTAACTTATTCTCCTGTCCCATATATTTCCAAACTGGAAATGAGGTCTAGAAGTTTGATGAGATTCAAGTTACACAAGGAACTATTCTTAATTGCCTGCAGGGATAACTACCATCTTTACGGTAGCTGTTCCCATGGTGATAAGTTCTTACTGCTTCCTTTGACAGATGTTAATGTTCGCGTGTCAAGTCTCACACTCTTGGGAGCTATAGTGTCCACCCACGCACCTTTACCTGAGGTCCAGCTACTTCTGCAACAGCCATGTTCTTCTGGACTCGGTAATAGCAATTCAGCAACCCCTCACCTCAGCCCTCCTGATTGGTGGAAGAAAGCCCCTGCAGGACCCTCTCTGGAAGAAACGTCAGTTAGCTCACCTAAGGGGTCTTCAGAGCCCTGCTGGCTCATTCGACTCTGCATTTCCATTGTCGTACTGCCCAAGGAGGATTCCTGTTCAGGTAGCGATGCTGGCTCTGCAGCAGGAAGTGCCTACGAACCATCCCCCATGCGACTGGAGGCCTTACAGGTAGGAGGTTTCATTTCCTCATGTCTGAAGTGGAAGTAACCATTCTTCCTTCAGAGTGCCCATGAGGAGCCAGCAGGTAAAACCAAGCCATATGTCAGCTGTGTTTGTGGGAGTCGTATTTTAGGTATGGGTGGTCTATTGTTTTTGTTGTTTTGTTTTGGGGAGGTGTTCCTTGGTTGCAAAATAGCAGATTCGTTCCTTTTTGTTCTTTGATTGCCAATTATTTTAGTCACTTCAGGTATTATATGACAGGTGGATGTAATAGATGGTAGAATAATTCTGAGTGAAATTGTACAGTTAATTTTTGATTTTTGCAACTTAAATGTTTAATTCTTTATAAGCTTCTCCTTGGTCTTGTACCTTAGAGCAACAAAATAATTGTTCCTTCAAAGAAAGAAAACAATCCTAGATAAAAGAGCTTACTTTTTCTATACAAATATGATCTGAGACTAGGCCTGGTCCTGGGGTCTGCTGCTAAGTAACTGGACAACATGAAACATGTCCTTTAACCTTGTCAGGCTTAGTTTCTTTAGCTGTAAAATTCAGTTAATACCTAACTTAAAGAATAGTTCCAAGACTTAAATGAGATTACATTAATGAAAAGCAATCATATACTAAAGCACCATAAAACTATGATACAGTTAATTGATGTTAGTCATGAAATAAAGATGATAGTTCTTAATTTCATTTGACAGTTTTCAGCCCCTGTTAAACATAAGCGATTTCTGAAATATTATAACACTTTTCTGCATTTTGCAGCCTTGCACTCAGGTCTTAGAGGGTTAATTCCGTGCTCTCTCTGCAGGTATTGGCTCTTCTGGCAAGGGGCTACTTTTCAATGGCTCAGGCCTACTTGATGGAGCTTGGAGAGGTGATTTGCAAGTGCATGGGGGAAGCAGATCCATCCATTCAGCTTCATGGAGCAAAGGTAATGTTCATCAAAACCACAATGCTTTTTCCTTCTCGTCACTTTATATCCCTCCTTTTCTTCACTTTATATTCTTCTGCCACATGTCCTTCAATTCTGAGATTTCTTAAAGAGATTTCAGGTGAGGAAGACTATACATTCTTCTGTTTTCAGCTCTTACATGTAAACCCCAAGAGTTGATTCGGTAACAAATGAATAACATATAGCGGTTGATTTCAGTCCTTGAAAGAATACCTCTGTTAAGAGTGACTAAAAAAAGGAAGAAAAGTAGTTGCAAATTATGTTTCCCCTTGATTTGAGGTGATCTCCAAACTAAAGTGAAGTTGTTTGTTAGTCCTAATACTCTGCTTTGGTAATTCTTTTTTCTTGGCAGCTTCTGGAAGAACTGGGCACAGGCTTAATACAGCAGTATAAACCGGATTCTACTGTAGCACCTGAGCAGCGAGTGCCAGTCTTCTTGGTAAATACATGTCAATTCATAGTTTTCTTTTATTAGTGCTTCAGTTGCAATTTTATTTTGAAGCTCAGTGATAAGTGGAGTAGATGATATGGTGTCTTCCAGTGTCAAAAATTGTGTTTTATAATCCAGGAAAACATGAAACTAGTATAAATGGGTTTTATTTTACATTTCAGGTTATTTGCAATTTAGTATGTGGTAGGCTTGTGTATAACATATAACCAGCAATAGTAAAACTAGTATTTCTTTTGCATAAAACCTAGTCTGGTTACTCAGCCTGCCCAAGAGACAAAGAGCCAGGAATTTTGTATCCAAAGCCATGGGATGAAATTTAGGGAACATGCTTGTATTAGTCCATTTTATGTTTCTATAAAGGAATACCTGAGGCTGGGCAATTTATAAAGAAAAGACGTTTATCTGGCTCACAGTTCTGCAGGCTATACAAAAAGCATGATGCCAGCATCTACCTCTGATGGAGCCCCAGGAAGCTTTTAATCCTGGTGGAAGGCAAAGGGGGAGCAGGCATGTCATATGGCAAGAGAGTAAGCAAGAGGGAGATGCCAGGCTCTTTTAAACAACCAGCTGTCATAGAGTGAGAGCTCACTCATTACCACAAGGACAGCACCAAGCCATTCAAGAGGGATCCGCCCCCATGACCCAAACACTTCCTATTAGACCCACCTCCAGTGTTGGAGGTCACATTTCAGCATGAGGTTTTGAGGAGACACACATCCAAACCATATCATTCTGCCCCTGGCCCCCGCAAATCTCATGTTCCTCTCATTGCAAAATACAGACATCTCTTCCCAATCGTTCCCCAAAGTCTTAACTCTTTCCAGCATCAACTCAAAAGTCCAAAGTCTCAGCTGTGACTCAAGGCAAGTTCCTTCCACCTGTGAGCCTGTAAGATCCAAAACAAGTTATTGATTTTTAAGATACGGTGGTGTACAGGCATTGGGTAGACATTCCCCTTCCAACAGGGAGAAATCAGCCAAAAGAAAGGGGCAACGAGCCCCACACAAATCCGAAACCCAGCAGGACAGACACTAAACCTTAAAGCTCCAAAACAGTCCTTTGACTCCATGTCCCGCATCCAGTGCGCACTGGTGCAAGGGGTGGGCCTCCAAGTCTTCTGGCAGCCTTGCCCTTGTGGCTTTGCTGGGTGTAGGCCGTGTCCATTCCCAGAGTTCCACTAGGCAGTGCTCGGTTGGAGACTCTGTTTGGGGGCTCCAGCCCCATATCTCTCTTTGGCACTGCCCTAGTAGAAGCTCTCAATGGGGGCTCTGTCCCTGTGGCAGGCTTCTGCGTGGGCACCCAGGCTTAGGGAATCCTCTGAAATCTAGGTAGAAGCTCCCAAGCCTTCTTCACATTTGCATTCTGTGCATCTGCAGGCTTAACACCACATGGAAACCGCTAAGGCTTACAGCTTGTACCCACTAAGCAGAAAACCAAGCAGTATCTGGGGCCCTGTGAGCCAAGGCTGGGGATGCTGGGAGCAGTGTCTCAAGGCTGTGCAGAGCAGTGGGGCCCTCGGCCTGGCCCCCAAAACCACTTTCCTCCTAGACCTCTGGGTGTGTGATGGGAGGGGTTGCCTCAAAGATTTCTAAAATGCCCTCAAGGCTGTTTTCCCATAGTCTTGGCTATTAGCGCCTGGCTCCCTTTTAGTCATGCTAATCTGTCTAGCAAGTAGTTGCTCGGAGCTTGGATTCCTTCTCCAGTACAGGGCCAGGGTGCAAATTTTCCACATTTTTATGCTCTGCTAACCTTTTAATGGTAAGTTCCAACTCTTAAGTCATTCCTTTGCTCCTACATCCGACTATAGGTTGTGAGAAGCTGCCATATCACCTGGTGAATGATGCTTAGCATTTCTTTCACCCGATACCCTAAGTCATTACTCTTTAAGTTCAACCATATGCAAATCCCTAGGACACGGGCATAATGCAGCCAAGTTGTTTGCTAAGGTGTCACACAGGTGACCTTTCCTCCAGTTCTCCAAACTTTTTAATTTCTATCTGAGGCCTCCTCAGCCTGGCTTTCACTCTCCATATTTCTATCAGCGCTTTGGTCACAACCATTTAATCAGTCTCTGAGAAGTTCTAAACTTTCCTTTGTCTTCCTATCTTCTGAGCCTTCCAAACTCTTTCAACCTCTGCCTGTTATGCCCAGACCATTTATTCCCCAAAGAAGACCACCAGAGTCCAGAGTCAAAGCTAAGCAGCAAGGATCTTTATTACAGGTTCGAACCTGGAGCTCTCACTTGCTCGTGAAACGAGACGGGCAGGAGAGCTCCCCTACTGAGCTCCGAACAATGTTATATAGTCTAAGGAAAGTAGGCATAGAATCATTATACAAATTAGAGGTATGATTGGCTGGAGTTTGAACAAAGCGATTTGGCAAACTATGATTGGTTCCCGCCATTTCTGATATTTCAGTACAACCCTTGAGGCGGAAGAGCAGTTTTACACAAAGGCAGTTAATTATATTGCATCAGGTTGCACGACCAGTTTATGGCTATCTTGCTTAAACACACCTTGTGACCTGGCTATCTTACTTAAACATTCCTTGTGACCTGGCCTCAGAAAGAAAAACATGTACTTACAGAACTTACGAAACCTCTGGTACGTGCAAAGATTAGAGAGCAGAACAAGGGTGTAGCGGGTGGGGGGCGGGTACACATCTATCTTTGTGTCCTTTCATGCCCAGTACCAAGTTCCAAAAGTTGCTTCCACATTTTTAGGTATCTTTATACCAACACCCCATTCCTTGGTACCAATTTTCTGTATTAGTCTCTTTTCTGCTGTGTAAAGAAATACCTTAGACTGGACAATTTATTTTTCAAAGAGATTTGTCTGGCTCACAGTTCTGCAGGCTATACAAGAAGCATGGCGCCAGCATCTACTTCTGGTGAGGCCTCCAGAAGCTTCCAGTCACGGTGGAAGGCGAAAGGGGAGCAGGCATGTCACACGGCGAGAGAGGAGGCAAGAGAGATGCCAGGCTCTTTTAAACAATTAGCTCTCGTTTGAATATCAGAGTAAGAACTCACTTATTACCACAGGGATAGCACCAAGCCATTCAGTAGAGATCTGCCCACATCACCCAAAAACCTTCCTCTAGGCCCACCTCCAACATGGGAGGTCACATGTCAACATGAGATTTGGAGGGGACACACGTCCAAACCATATCAGCCACTTAATGGATATGTGGTTATAGGCATGGTTTCCTAGTTGTAAAAAGGAATAATAAACCATAACCCCTCAGTCACAAGGCTGTTGAAAAATCGAATGACATGTAAAGATGCTAACACATAGGAGCTGGTACCCGCGACCTCCCTGCCCCCCATCAGCCCCACCATGGTTCTACTAAATTCCTGTGATTTCAGGTTGTTTCTGCTACCCCCACACTGTGCCAGTTCCAAAGATGGATGAAGGGCACGTGACCACACCAGAAAAGGCTTCTACTTAGTGCTAAAGCCAAATCAGCTCAGTGCTGGTGGTCTTTGCTCCCTCTGCCTCCACATGCTGCCTATTCTTTTCTTCTTTTCCGTTCACAGTTTCTGCCATCCTTTCAATGAGTTAAAGATTCTAACCCTAGTCCCTGCCTTAGACTGCCACTAAAGCTTCCATGTAACATATGCAGGGAGGTGAGCTGAGCTTTGTTATCAGACAGAACTAGGTTTGGATTCAAACTTTTCCCTTTGCTAGATAAATGACTTTAGGCAAGCCTCTTTAACTGTTCACACTCAGGTATTGTTCATCTGTGGGGAAAAAAAAGACATGTTTTCTATATTGCTTGTCTATTAGTGAGTAATAAATTAAACATTTAGCAGCTTAAAGCAATGTACGTTTATTTCCTCACAGTTTCTGTGGGTCAGGAATTAGCTTGACTGAGTGATTCTGGCTTAGTTCTCACATGAGGTTGGGATCAAGATGCCCCCAGGGTTGCAGTCAACTGATGGGTTGCAAGACTTGATGGGGTTGGAGGATCTTCTTCCAGGGTGGCTCACCCATAGACCTAGCAAATTAGTGTTGGCTGCTGGCAGAACCTCAACTCATTTCCTCCCCAGAGGGCTGCTTGAGTATCCTCTTGACGTGGCAGCCAGCTTCCTTCACAGCAGGTGATCCAAGGGAAAGAAAGCAAGACAGCTGTGGTGCTTTATATGAGCTAGCTTTGGAGGTTTCATGCCATCATTTCCACAACATCCTATTGGTTACGCAGGTCAGCCTGTTCAGTATGGGAGGGGACTACACAAGGGTGTAAATATTAGTAGGTGAGTGTAATTGTGTGCCATCCTGGAGACTGGCAACCACTTTTTGTCCACATTCTTCTGGAGTGGGGTAGGGAGGGCCCAGACTGGGTTTCCAGGAGCTGAAGTAGGAGAAAGACAGAACCGGTGCGTGAAATACACAGCAAAACCCTGGACTAGGTCCATGGGACAGAAACAAAACATACCAAAATCACAGAGATTCGCAAATGAACATGAAATCACAGGATATGTATAAAGCATGGAAAGGAAACTGTTCACATGGCTACTTTAGAGGCTGTGAAGTGAGATCGTTCTTCAAAGTGCTGAAAACAGAACCTGCTGCCCAGTTTAAGAGTGTCCACTGTGTATCAGACCCTGCGCTAGAAACCTCACACAGAGTATTACATTTTATTATCACACAGACTCTGCAAAGTAGTTGAAAAAACCCCAGCCGAGTGTCAACTGATCTGGATTCTAGTTCACTCCTGCTGCTGATTAGCAGTTGTATTGTCTCTTTGTGCCTCAGTTTCCTTCTGTGAAAAAGCAGGGATAATGCTACAGACCCCATTTATTTGTGCCAAGGAGTAAAATGAGTTGATACCTGTAAAATACTTAGAGCAATGGCTTGCATGGGATGAGCTCTCTGAAGAACATGAGCTGTCGCTGCTGTTGCTGTTACTGTCATCACCCTCTTTAGCCTCCTCTTATTATCACTGTTGTTGCGTAACTTTATCAGACCACAGTCTCCTAATCAATAGGAGTTGAAAGGAAGGCTTAAACACTGCAATTGTTTTCTAAAGTCCTTTCCATCACTGTGGAAGAAGAGCCCATGAAAACATTTACAGAAAGCTGCTACGTTAAGGAAAAATGTTTCACTACTAAGGCCATTTCTGGTAGGCTTAGCTCCGAGTTGGTTCTCCTGCTATGTCTTGGGCTGCAGCTTTTCCTTTGCCTCTGTTCCAGGTGGTGATGTTCTGGACTATGATGCTGAATGGTCCTTTACCCAGAGCCCTGCAGAATTCGGAGCACCCAACTCTCCAGGCGAGCGCCTGTGATGCCCTGTCTTCCATCTTGCCAGAGGCCTTCAGCAGTCTGCCGGTAACGTCAGGGTGTTTTCTCACCCTTAAGTCATGGCTGGAGCACCAGAGCTAGAATTTGATGCTGTTGCATTTTGAACCAGTATTCAGCATCATCTCTGATGAAAAGGTGCTAATTCTACCTGAGTTGGGGATGAGAGCACTGAGGAACAGCAAATAGGAAAACTTGAAGCCTTAATATATCAGGAAAGCTGTTTCCCCCTTGCGTTAGAATGTAGGTGGTAGAGGCAAGGGTAGCAGAAGCTTGGAAAGCAGAGAGATTTCAGGAAGATTTCGTATCCAAACTTTGAAAGGCCTGAGTTAAAGCCCAGCTCTTCGACTTGCTAGCTCTTTGACTCTTAGCCTCTCTAAAACGTGATATTATCATCAATAAGATGGCAGTCATGTGAAAAATAACAAAGTATGTGAAAACACAGATTCGTTGTCCAACATATACAGTATTTGTCTTAGTCTGTTTGAGCTGCTGTCATAAAATACCATAAATTGGGTGTCTTCTAAACAACAGAAATGTATTTCTCATAGTTCTGGAGGCTGGAATTAAGATCAAGTCACTGACAGACAGATTTGGTGCCTCAAGGAGGGCTCACTCTCTGGCTCACAGGTGGCACCATGTGAGCCGTGTCCTCATGTGATGGAAGGGGCAAGGCAGCTCTCTGGCGCCTCAGTCATAAGGGCACTCATCTCTTTCATGAGGGCTCTGTTCCCATGACCTGATCTCCTCCCCAAAGCCCCACCTCCTGATACCATCACCCTGGGAGTGAAGATTTCAACATAGGAATTTTGAGGGAGCATAAACATTCAGACTACTGCTATTCAGAATAGCGGTATGCAGACTGCTCTTTTTCTTTAGTCCTCAGTGACATTTGCATCCATTCTTATTTATATAAATGAGCTTCTATAAAGAAGGCAACTTTAATAAAGGTTAAATGTGATGAGATGCTGTGTGTGTCTTGCACAAAGTGGGTGCTCAGATAATCATGGAATCTGCATTGAACCTGCTCTTTACCAGGGTAACCTCAAGGTCGCACTGGTATTCAACTCTTGAATATGGTCTCAGACACAGATATTTCACATCTTTTATGGAAGCCTTTGGCTCGTAGTTATTTCATTCTCATTTTTCCCTTGTCAACCTTCTCATTGCAGAATGACAGGCAGATCCTGTGCATCACAGTGCTGCTCGGACTGAATGACAGCAAGAATCGCTTAGTGAAAGCTGCAACCTCACGGGCCCTGGGAGTCTATGTGCTTTTTCCCTGTCTCAGACAGGTCAGAGTGAGCCTATTTAGCTCTTCTGTGCCCCTTTATTGTCCATGACACCCCTATTTTGTGGATATAGAGCTCCTGCATTGGACAGTAAAGGAAACTAAATTGCTTTGTAATCTGATTTCCTTAATTGCTACTAAAATACAGTCATGGGCCAGGCATGGTGGCTCATGCCTGTAATCCCAGCACTTTGGGAGGCCGAGGCAGGTGGATTGCTTGAGCTCATGAGTTTGCCCAGCCTGGGCAACTTGGCGAAACCCCGTCTCTACAAAAAATAAAAAAATTAGCCAGGTATGGTGGTATGCGCCTGTAGTCCCAGCTACTTGGGAGGCTGAGATGGGAGGCTCACTTGAGCCTGGGAGATGAAGGTTGTAGTGAGCAGAGATCACACCACTGCACTCCAGCCTGGGTGGCAGAGCCAGACACACACACACACACACACAGATACACACTCTCTATATATAGTTATACATAAATATAGTTGTATATATGTAACTACAGGCATTACCATACATAGATCATATATATAAATGAACTGAGGCATTACCATATATAAATATGGTATTTATTTTTAATTTTTAATTGCTTAGCACACTGCCTGGGACCTTAGGCGCCCAATAAATGCTTAAATTAATGAATGATATAATAAAAATGAAATGGGACATAACCAGGTGGTAGTCATCATTTAGAAAGCTGAGATAGTTTTTACTCAAAAGGACATAATGTCCTCTTTCACTCTTACTTGTGACATTTATCTCACTGAGAGGTGTGTAGGATGTGTTTTGGAAATAAATGCATTTCTTTTTCAGAACATTATTTCCTGAAATGGAAATCAGCCAAGCACAGAGTTCACAGATAACTGTCCCAGGCCAAGTTATATATTCGATGTTCATAAGGGCAAAATCCGTAGGCTTCTCGGGTGTCCATGGCACATACCAAAATCATAGGAGTTTCCCCTGGGATTTTTTTGAGTGTCCAAATTGTAAAATATAAGAAGAATAGTAAATTGATTGAGTAGATGAATTTTTATTTCCAAGTAGAAATTTGCGTGAAGGCTTATAGCTGTATCTGAAAATACGTTTGAGAATTTCAAAGGTAGCAACTTGACCTGCTGAAGTAATGGCAGTGTTTTGTTTTGTCTTATAGGATGTCATATTTGTTGCAGACACAGCAAATGCAATATTGATGTCACTTGAAGACAAGTCTCTGAATGTTCGAGCCAAAGCAGCCTGGTCCCTGGGCAACCTGACAGACACGCTGATTGTCAACATGTAGGTGACTCACCTTGCTTTCTCCAGCGGACTTCTGAGACTGAGGGCCCAAGAGAATGTCCTCGATCCCTACCATGAAAGAATCAACAGTAGTTCCCGCTTATTATCCCGCTTCCTGCTTTGTTTTTTTCTGATATTCTTTCAGAAAATAAAATAAGCTGTTCTTAATATATATTAGGACTATATTAAGACATATATGTATTAAAAATACTGTATACCAATATAAGTAATATGTCCACATTATAGAAAACATAAAAGCAAAACCTTAGTAATGGTTACTGTACTTTTAAAATGCATTTAAAAAATTTCTTAAAGTGGTATATTCACAGGCTAAAAAAAAGCCAAACAGTACAAAGCATCATTCAGTGTGCAGCCTGTCTTCTACCCTGACACCTTAGTTCCCCTCCCCAGAGGTAGCTGGTTGTTCATGTGCAAGTGTCCTGCTTTTCGTCACTGCACCATATAAGCGACATGTAACGTGTGTAAGCATTCTCTTTTATTATTGCCTTGTTAGAAACCCTTATTTATGATTACATAATTATCACTGTGTGATGATTAACCATTTTTCTATTTCTGAACATTTGTTTTAGGCTTTAGGCTTGTAGGTTTTTATATTCAGTGAATATTTTTGTGCACGAAATCTGCATTTTGAGATTTTTTTTTGGAGACATTCCTAGGTGGGGAACTATTGGGTCAAAATATATATACTGTAAGTTTCTTGATACAATCTAAGCATTTCTGTTAAACTGTTTTCCTAAACTGTTATGCTTATACTAAGTGAATATATTTCTATATGTATATATTTAAGTGTATTTACCTTTTAACATGTGTTGCCTGCTTTGGGTGGAACAGGGAAACACCAGACCCAAGTTTCCAGGAAGAGTTCTCCGGTCTCCTGCTCTTGAAAATGTTGCGATCAGCTATAGAAGCATCCAAGGATAAAGACAAGGTAGACTCACAACAAAACCCAGTATCTCCCAAACAGATCCTTAATGTATTCTAGCTGCAGTGTGGTAGTTTAGTGTGGCTTGATGCTCCTCAGACTATCCCACCAAATGTACTCCTGTTCAAAGGAGACTGAGCGTGTGCTCAGGATGTAAACGGCCCATTCCACACATGTATGGTTTCTTTACTGTCTCCTGCCTCCCGAAAAATATCAGTGCCCATTGTAATACTACATGACATATTCAGGTTCCTTTTAAATTAACTTTTTTTTATTTCCCCCCCCAAAAAAATTTTAAGTAGAATTGACAAGTCAGAAAAATGAGTAGCTCTTGGCTTTGAATATTACCTGTTAAACTAATAAGTTTAAAAAGCACAGGTCTGGGCTTTAGGTCAGACATACATGGATTCACGCCCTGGCTTGCCCTTTAGTAGCTGGGTGACTTTGGTATATTATGTAACTTCTCTGAAGGTCAGCTCCTCACCTGTAACATGGAAGTTATATACCTCACCGGATATGAAGATGCCTTATGTTAAAGCACCGAGCACAGTACCGGACCCATACCATGTGCTCACTTTAATACTACTTCTGGGCCGGGCGCGGTGGCTCAAGCCTGTAATCCCAGCACTTTGGGAGGCCGAGACGGGCGGATCACGAGGCCAGGAGATCGAGACCATCCTGGCTAACACAGGGAAACCCCATCTCTACTAAAAAAATACAAAAAACTAGCCGGGCGAGGTGGCGGGCGCCTGTAGTCCCGGCTACTCGGGAGGCTGAGGCAGGAGAATGACGTAAACCCGGGAGGCGGAGCTTGCAGTGAGCTGAGATCCGGCCACTGTACTCCAGCCCGGCGACAGAGTGAGACTCCGTCTCAAAAAAAGAAAAAAAAAAAAAAATACTACTTCTGAAAATCTGGTAATCACCCAGGAAGCCCTGCCTCAGAGTAATTCAATCAGAAATTCTGAGGTTAGGGCCTGCAAATTGGTTTTAAAACAAAAGGAAAAACCTCCCCAAATGATTCTGGTAGACTGCAGAGGTTGAGACTCTAGTCTAGTAGAAGAGTATTGGGACTGGAATTGGAACCTAGCTTCTCCTCATCATCTTGCTATCAGCCAGCCTTGTCCGTTGTCCCCGGTCCTTATACTCCATCTCAGTAAAACAAGGAAGATGACCTCTCTGAGGTCCTGTCTAGCACTAAATAAAATAATAAATAAATAATCAGAGAGAGGAGTTTTGGTAGAACCTACCTTTCTGATGGCTCAGGATGTTAACCAGGGCAGACCTTGTGAGTTCCAGGGACTTGCTTTAAGAAGTTGAAGACCTCCTGGGTTTTTTAAAAGCTGAAATTAGACTTTTGAAAACATCTCTTCGGCAAAACAGATTTCAAAAGCATTTACGTTTTTTTCTAGGTAAAGAGCAATGCAGTCCGGGGCCCTTGGAAATTTGCTTCATTTCTGCAACCCTCTCATATAGAAAAACCCACATTTGCAGAAATAATTGAGGAGTCTATCCAGGCCCTAATTTCTACTGTTCTAACAGAAGCTGCCATGAAAGTCCGATGGAATGCTGTTATGCAATGGGAATGTATTTAAAATCCTGCCCTTCCATTAGGTAAGAAAGTTTCCCTTCACTCCCTGGTGGAAAGCCTCTTGGACAATACACACCAATCTACATTGTTGTTAAAGATGTTTGTCACATGTCATTTATCACAGTATGAGGAAAAAATGGAGATATACTGAAACAGTTTAGGAGAACATTGAAATACATCATTACCTATACAATGAGATTTATAATGGAATATTTTGTTGCCATATAAAATTATGTAAATAATTTTACCAATATTACTTACAATAATTTTATAATCTGGAAAAATACTTCTGATGTTAACAAATGAAAGCAGGTATTAAATCATTTCTACAGAATGACCTCAATCGATGGTAGAAAAAGACTGAAAGGAAATTGGACCAATTATTAACAGTGATTGCCTCTGGTTGAGTAGGATTTTTTCTGTTTTCATTTTCTCAGTTGTCTACAATAAGCATATATTGTTTTAATGGTCAAGAAAAAAGGAAGGAAACAAAACTGGAATGAGAGGGGATATAAACTGGAAATCCCCTGTGAGCTGTGTACAGAAGTGGATCCATTAATAAATGTAAGGAGGGCATCTGTCTCTAAGTAGCGGCATGCCATGCACCTTGATATGTCATTCAGGACCAGTAGCTGCTTAGGTGTGTGGATTGGAGCCTCCAAACCTCGCTACTTTGAATGCCAGTGTTCACTTTATTGCGTCTCTCTCTCTCTCTCTCAGAAGATTTGAGACCTAAGGATGTGTTCCTGGAGAGGAGCTCATGCATCAAGTGAGGGAAGTCTGGCTCTGTTCCCCTTTATTGCCCAGAGCGTCCAGGCCGACCAGTCAGCTGGGAGCAGGTGGAGAAGTAGCCTCCTGGCTTCTTCCACTGAGAAGTCACCTAAGGGTGACCTTTGGGGTTGGAGCTCATTGAGGTGGATGTCCGCCTTCTGGAGAGCCAAGAAGTCCTTGAAACAAGGGCACCTCAGTGGTGGTTGGCTCCTACCTGCCTTCCAGTATGGCCCTTGCCCTCAGCCTACTAGAGAGAGAAGTTGACCTGCATGACTTGGAGGGAAAGGGAAGTTCCAAAGAGGCAGGAAGTTTGAGAACTAGAAGTCATCCAGTAGCAGAGCTATCAAGAGCCACATAAGAAAAGGGAGCCAGAAACTGATAAAGAACTCTGACGGGTCAGATTGTGAGTGTCTTGTAGGTCTAGCAGTGGCCCATTGTCAATGGCAGTGGCATCCACCAAATGGAAAGGGCCTGCCTGCCTGTCTTCGGAGGCAACAGAGAAGCTGGGAGGGGCTGGGTGAGTTAAGAGAAGCTGCATTCTACTCTGTCACCCATCTTGAGGAGTAAGGACACCCCAAAATGGAGTGGGTAGCAGTAGCTCTGGTAAGGAGGAAAGCAGGCTGATTTCCTAGGGCCTACAGGTATAGAGAAAGAATAGAAATCTGGGCATCTTATTCTTGAAACTGTACATTTTCTTTTTCTTTGCAATAAAATGCATGACTTGCTATGGCCAGAACAGTGTCTGGATGCTGTTGCAAGTGAGGAAATAATTCTTTTTGCCAGCATGAACAGCACTGCCACATGCAGTGTGTGCTTTGCACACAGCTCAGAAGGGCCCAACTGAGAGGACAGGTGGGGTTGCAGTTCAGTCCACGCTCTACCCACGAAGCCATACCCCATGGGACAGAATCCTCCCAGAGAAGAAGCCTTTTTCTGAGTCACCAAAGGCCCTATATCGGGTAGCAGAGGCTCTAAGCATGTCACAGGCTGAGGTAGGGAAAGAGGGAGGTTTGGGGATTGGCACCTGGCCACTTACCTAGGATCCTACAGTCAGTCACCACCGTTGTCTTACAGGATGATTGTGAGAATGAAGTGAACACATAAAATGAGTGTTTTGGGGACTAGTGTTTATGCTGCCTTCCGCCCCTCTCCCTCTCACCCCACCTAGTTCTAAGCCTGCATTTGTTTAGTGACTGTGGATTCTTTCTAGGGACAGCCCCATGGACCCCAGGCCTACAGTGCCCTGACATCGGTCGTGACATCATGCAAGAACTTTAAAGTGCGCATCAGATCTGCCGCTGCCCTTTCCGTCCCGGGGAAGAGAGAGCAGTATGGGTCTGTTGAACAGTATGCTCGGATCTGGAATGCATTGGTCACCGCCTTACAGAAGAGCGAAGACACCATAGACTTTTGGAATTCAAGTACTGTGCCAGCCTACGGACCCAAATCTGCGAGGCACTGATTCACCTCTTGAGCTTGGCCAGTGCCTCGGACCTCCCTTGTATCAAAGAAATCCTTGAACTGAATGGGAATATGGTCCAGTCCTATATCGTACAGTTTTTAAAATCTGGAGCAGAGGGAGATGACACTGGAGCACCTCACAGTCCACAGGAAACAGACCAGATGGTCAGAATGGCCCTTAAGCACATGGGCAGCATCCAGGCACCAGCTGGAGACACAGCCAGAAGGACCATCATGGCTTTTTAGAAGAGATCCTGGCCATTTGTTTTGAGTCATCTGGATCACAAGGGCACTCCCAGGGTTAACGAATCAGTGAGGATCCCACCATACTTTCTAGGTGTCGAAGGTGGCAATAGGAAGACCTGAGCTTGAGCGTAAGATCTGTGGGATTTCATCTTAGGGGCAGAAACAATCCATTCACTATTTAGAATGACTTAGCAGCAATTAAATTTTTACAGAGGGCTCAACCACCTTTGGAGTGGCTCCATGGCACTGGCCATGGTCAGGGTGGTTGGAACGTCTGACCTGTGCATCCAGGAGCCGAGGAGTCAGGTTATAATATGGGCTAAGCAGACAGGGGCTTTGAGGGCATTTAGTCTCAGAAAAAAGTAGAAGGATTTAGGAATTAGAATTTTATATATTGTATCTGTAGTTTTGTAATAAACTAATGAAGAATTATGTGTCCACAATCTCCTGTTGTTACCAAGTTGTATTTCTGGCAAGCTGCAAGCAGAGCTGCAGTGCAGCCGGTTGGTACTGGCACAGCTGCACAGGATGCAAGGAGACTGACAGTTCCTCACAGTGGATGAGGAGCTGCTGCTCTGAGCTGCTGGAGTGCCCGTGCTCCCCTGACCGCCTTCCCTGCCGCACCTCCCCACAATCCAATAACCAGAGTTAACTCCCAGCAAGCAGGGCCCTCTAACCTAGGCCACAACATCGACCTCTACCTCAATTTCCTGATGCCCTTTAGGAGAATGTGATCCCACACACGAAATTTATAGTTTTGCCATCTTTTAATTTGTGCCTTTAAGAAAAGATCATTTGATTAATCTAGTTGGTTACAAAGAGGGGTTTCCAATTATATTTTGATAATGCCCCAAAAGTTAAGAAAGTAATTTCTACTGAATATGTATAGTTAAATTTTGCATTTCTCTATTGAGCACCGACAATTTTTTGGAATTGATTTCAATTAGAAATTTAGGGATATATAAGAACCAATTAAAGCCCACACTTAACGTGATGTGGGACAATTAAGAAGATACAAAAAATGGGTTTTGGTGATATTTAATCACGGTTATTTAGCTTAACATACACCTGTAAAGGCATGTGTCTTCTGTTTTTCTCCTTTGCCTTTTAGCTGCACTTTTCCTGCCTCTGACATGTTGGCAGCTCAGAAACTGCTCTCTGGGCAGTGACTGGGGAACAGGGTATTCAAGTTCACTAAAGGCTCAATTTTCCATTGATAAGAGTATCAGTGTCCACAGACTTAAGACTGCAAGCACAGCAAAGACACCCATAATGAATGGTCCTTTAAACTGCTTTTCTTTAGAGACGATTCTGAACATAAAGTGTTATAGAGGGCCCGGGAAACTAAGCTGAGCCCACTTGACCCTGTGACGCATCTTGGAACTTCCTTCTCTTGAATATATTCTTAGTAGTAGCTTCTTGGCTTTTCAAAAAAGGAAAAATATGGCATATGTAGCTTATTACTGTGGTTCTTTTGAGTTTTCTCAGGTGAGTTTTGTGATAAAATATTTGCGAAGTGGCCTCATGGTTTCATTTGATGATTCACTCTTGTCCTTTCCTTATCTTGAATAAAATCCCATTCATTTTCTTTTTAAAACTTTAGCTTCTGTAAAGGTTTCCAGATCCTGATGTGGATGTTCATGTTCATGTGCACAAAACCAAGGCATAACACCTCTAGAAATTTCAGAGGGCAGTGGTACCTGCTGTGTCCCGACAGTACGCTGATTGTCTTCTCTGCAGCGCTGTGAGTGGACGCACACCCGAGGACAGACGCTCCTCAGATGCCTGGGCACGCGCCTCCATAGAGCTGCTGTGGGGAAAGGAAGCCACAGACAATAAAGACACCTGAAGCTGGTGAAAATCAGCAGACAGCCCCACTGATGCAGATTTCTAATGCAGAATACCAGATTCTAAATTATCTTTTGACACTTGAAACTTGGGAGGAAGAGTCATCCAGGCACAGATGGCTAGGGCCCTTGTCCACTAGACTACAGCATTAAGAGACATTGCTTATCTTACTCTTTGAACCTTTTCTGTGACCAGTAAAAAAAAAAAACAAAAAAAAAAACCACATTAATTCCTACCCCCTTCCAGAACTCAAGAAAAGCACCTCTTCTGAGGTAGGGTGCTGTGGCTCATATCTGTAATCCCAGTAGGCCAAGGCGGGAGGATCACTTGAACCCTAGGAATTCTAGACCAACCCGGGCAATATAGCGAAATCCTGTGTTTGCTGTCTCTTCTCTCCCCACACCAGCCCCTAGGCAATCTCACTGCGGCAGTGGCAGCCAGGCAGGTGCCTAGAGCTTCAAGGGAAGGAAACTCGTCTCTGCCAGGGGAAGAATGGTCCCAACAGCAAGGGAGCCATGCCCATGGCTTTTTTTTCTCTACACATCCTTCCATGCTTGGCCGTGAGGCAGACAGTCACAGAAACTAGCACAGAGCAGTACAGTTAAAACCCTGACTTTCTAGCCAGAGGACCCAAAAGAGGGACCCCTGAGACTGGAAAGTGTTGAGATTCCAGAAAGGAGGGAAGGCAGGAAGGTAATACCCTCAAGTTGTATATGAACTTCTGGGTTTCACGCCCCGGCTTTACATGTGTGGATCTGACCAAAGGCTTTGAACTGAACCGTGGGACAAACCACTGCCCAGTCTCGTACCAGCCACTGGGTGGCGCGCACACGGGGCGGATCTGAACAGCGCGGAAAAAGGCTCTGAAGCTTTATTGACATTGAACCACAACACGCAGGAGGCAGGTAAGAACTTGTGAACCGAACCTAACCAGGATGATTGTCTGCTAAAGCAAAAACATAAGCTTCCAACATGGCCCAGAGTCTTATAACACAAAACTCAAATGTTCAAGATACCGTCCATAATTACTTGACATGCAGAAAACAGAGAACCTCAATTTCCTGAAGACACTCCTGGTACTCAAGGGATCTTCCCACCTCAGCCTCCCGAGTAGCTGGGATTACAGGTGCGCGCCACCACACCCAGCTAATTTTGTATTTTTAGTAGAGATGGGATTTCTCCATGTTGGTCAAGCTGGTTTCTACATTTCACGTGAAGCACTAAATATATAATCCTAAATAGACTATAAAAACCTACGTGTTTTGTAATCCCTAAAGCAACTACATTTTCAACTTACACAAAAAGATATGATTAAAAAAATCTGAATTAAAATAGAATTCAAAAAAACTCAAATAATCCAAAGGAAGGCAGGAAAAGTCAAAACAGGAATGAAAAACACAGGGAAAAATAGAAAACAAATAGAAAACAAACAATAAAATAGTAAACATAAATCCAAACATACCAATGATTATATTAAATTTAAAAAGTTGAAATATGCTAATAAAAAGACAGATTGTTGAATGTAAAAAACTAATGAACAAAAAACCCAACACTCAACTATATGTGTCTAAGAAGCTCATTTTAAGTAAATAGTATAGATTAAAAATGAAAGGACAAAAAAAGAAAGATATACAAATACTAATCAAAAGAAATCTGGAGTAGTTATACACCATCAGACGAAACAGACCAGAGCAAGGAAATTTGCCAAGGATAGAGAGGGACATTACACAATGATAACAGGGTCAATTTTCAAAGAAAACATTAACAAGCCTAAGTATCTATGTACCTAACAACAGAGCTTCAAAATCCATGAGGGAAAACCTGACAGAACTGAAAAGAGAAATGGCAAATGAGCAATTATAGTTGGAGACCCCAACCTGCCTTTCTCAGTAATCCCTAGAACAAATAGATCACATTCTGGATCATAAAACAAATTTTTTTTTTTTCCTTTTTAGACAGGGTCTTGCTCTGCTGCCCAGGCTAGAGTGCATTAATGCAATCTCAGCTCACTGCAGCCCAACTTCTCGGGCGCAAATGGTCCTCCCACCTCAGCCTCCCAAGTAGCTGGGACCACATGCTTGTGCCACCACACCTGGGTAATTTTTGTATTTTTGGTAGAGATGGGATTTCGCCATGTTGCCCAGGCTGGTCTCGAACTCCTGACCTCAAATGATCCACCCGCCTTGGCCTCCCAAAAGTGCCGGGATTACAAGCATGAGCCACCACTCCAAGCCCATAAAACAAATCTTAACAAATTTAAAAGAACTGAAATAATACAAAGCAAGGTCTCTGACCATAATAGAATTAAACCAGAGATAGACAACTGACAAAAATCTCTAAATACTTGGAGATTAAATAATATACTTCTAAGTAATCCATGGGTCAAAGGAGATAGTCTCAAAGGAAATGAGAATATTAGAAAATACTTTAAACTGAACAAAAACGAAAACACAATACATCCAGAAAAGGAGGAAGGCTCAAATCAACGATCTAAACCTCAGCTTTAATAAACTAAAGAAAAAAAGGGCAAAATGAATCTAAAACAAGCAGAAGGAAGGAAATGTTGGTAAGTTTAAGAAGCCACTCTCAAAAGGTTACATATTTATGGATACACGACATTATGGAAAAGGCAAAGCTACAGGGACAAAAAACAAATCGGTTGGTGGCCAGGGATTGGGGTGAGGCAAGCATGCCACGACAGGGAAGCATGAAGCAGTTTTGTGGGGATGATCAAACTGTTCAGAATCCTGATTGGGGTGCGGCTACAACACTCATAGAACAGTATACCCCCAAACAGCCTTTTTATTAAAATAATACTCTCTCTCACCGTTCGGAATCCTGATTGGGGTGGGGTTACAACACTCATAGAGCGGTATACTCCCAAACAGTCTTTTTATTAAAATAATAATCTCTGTCTCGCGCTCTCTCGCTCTGTCTCTCTCTCTCTCTCTCTCTCACACACACACACACAATCTCTTTCTCACCATGCAGATGTGTCTGTTCACCACTGCCAACAGTATGCCAGGTAATAATAAGACTAAGTATGTTTTTTGCTTGAATTAAAGCCATTCATTCAAAATGAATCACTGGTGCCCGAAAGATGGGGTCTAACTTCTGTTTAATTATAATGGGAATAAGTAGCATTTATTGACTGCTTTTTAAGTTGCCAAGTACTACAAAAGATTCAGATACATTATTAAAATGCATTTATAACTCTTAGATCATTCTGATATTTATAATGGTATATTTTGTAGCCATTTTTATTTCTGGAAATTTCAAGTCTTTTTGGTTCTTTTTAATTCTTTTGGCAAACTGATCTTAAAAGTACAAGATTCCAAGTTGCACAGGTAAATAACAGCAATGTAGAGGGATGACCACCAGATGGAGACAGAGAACACAAAGTTACTCAGACGCAAGGTTTTGCCAGAGCTCAGGCACACCTGGATATGAGGTTGCTCCCATCGGGTCGCTGGTTCTCAAACCTGGCTGCTCATTAAAATCATTTGGGGACATTTACACTACTGATGAACAGCCCCCTTCACCCACCCCTGAGTTTTGTGGTCTGGAGTATGGTCTCGCCACTGAGAGTTTTAAA